TGCCGGACCGAAACGACTGCACGTTCAAGAGACATATCCCCATGTAACATCCCCGTGTGTGCCTCTGTTTGTGTGCGTGTGTGTTTGCGTCCTGTGACCCTGAAAACGCGCTACTTGTGTGGGCTCCACTGTGCGTGTCTCTGACCTTGGGCTCACGCCGATTCGCCGAGTTCTATCCAATGGCAGCGCGAGCGGCGGTACCAGCCAGCACAGCTGATCGACCACCGGCCAAGCCGAATTCCCGTCGACGACGCGCTCCCAGAACGCGTCATCACCAGGCGTAATCAGGTGCGTGGAGAACGAGTGCGCGCCCCTAGATCGTCGGGTTGATTTCTATTCGAGCGAGCGCGGTGGTGGTGACGGTGGTGTGGCGGTTGAACGACACTCTCGCGGATGGTTACGTAACGCCGCGAACTGTACCCGGCGAGAGAAGGCTGCCAGAAATTTCGTGTTTGGCTGCGGTACACTACGACGGTGTTTTCGTTCGGTTATTTGTACACGGGGTTTGTTGCCCAACCGTGGGACGGCGTTATTATCGGAAGTTTGTATTCCGTAGCGAGAGGGGATGTTGTCCTCGAAGTGTTCCCTGTGATTTTATACCAGTGGTTCTTGGGCTTTTTACTAGTTGCTCGTTTCGTTGATCGGGGCTTTCGCCCTTTACGGTGGATTCGCGACTAGAGTAATTGCGTATGGTTCGGAGAGTGGTAGATTTCGTTCTGCCTTGAGGCGGTCTTGTTCGAGCGTTGAACAGGTGTTTCGCTCCCGGAGAGTATTTTGTTCTCTGGATCCGGGCGATCCTGAGAAACGAGTCCTTTTACAGTGAGTATGAGAGGATATGATCGTTCTTTATCTTGGAGAATCTTTATGTTCACGATCGAGAAGATTTTTGTTCACTCTTCGTCGGGAAGAGCGCTTACCTTTCAGAAAATATTCATCTTCCTTTAATTATGATTTATGAACTGTACTGGGTTTACGGTAACATTCGGTAAATGATAATCACGACAATCTCCGCAGAGCGTTTAACCCTCTTCCATCCCTCTCAAGAAATCATATTAATCTGCCGTTTGTAGATAAATTTGGACTTTTTTTTTACTTTTATTTTAAAAAATTTGCAAATTTACCTATTTATCTCTTCGTTTTATTAATTCCTTTACCACCGTGTCAATTTAATACCGTGGGATAAATTCAAGCTGGGAAAACGAGGAACGGACGAGGGTTAATATCCGTGTTTGCCATAAGCCACCGTGTCAGTAACGATCGCCCTACCTCACGAATGTTTCTAAACGATTCGATCGGTGCTATACAATCCCGTCCGTGACTATGAATTTTTATTCGAGTACACTGGGATTACGTAGTTTGTTCATCTGAAAATCCAGCCGGTGCTTTGTCCCTGGCCAATTTTCCCCCGGCACGATCTATATTTCCGTTCGATCCGGGATCCATTTTCCAGGCTGGATGGCTCTGTTTATTCGCGTACCATCCTGACGATCGCGTGATGCAACCCTGGAGTGGATCATGAACGCGTAGGACGGGACTGGAAATTTCGCGTCGAGCTATCTGTCTGTGGATTTACACCGACAAGGATCTAGCTCGTCGGGATGTGCACGGTCGGGTTCGGGTTTACGTAAGACCGTAAAATGGTGTTAGGTACGTGTATAGCGAGCAGTGAACTGCTACCACGGTCAGTCGGGTGACATTTAAGTGTCATTTTGCGGTAACGTCATATAAAAGGGTGAAACTCGATAGTGCAGACACATTGTCTTATAAAACTGTGCATCACTTTTTTACCAATCGAGATCTCTGAACTATTATTATCATAAAATATGCACTCCTGTTCATAAGTATTGGGACACTTATGAAATATGCAATACATGTTACTGGGTGCTATGAAATTACAAGATTCGTTCGTAAAGAAGTATTATTTTATTATAAAAATTGAAATTTCCACGTTTGAACAATTAAAACTGACAAAATATTTTTTTTATCTTTTATTCGTTATTCCAAACTTTTTATCTAGATAATGAGTTTGCCAATCTCTGTTTATGTTCGGTAGCGTACTATCACGAGGTAGTTACATTCAAACACGTCGAATTTCACCAACTACCAAAAGGTTCTTAAACACTTTGCGAACAAACAACGACAAGTTACCCTCAATTTCCCTGTTTACGTCGCGGATAAAGTTGTTTATAAACGAGCCTAGCATGGTGGAAAATCACCAGGGGATAAATTTCGTCGATTTCATAGCGGAAAGTTCGTGCTCGAACAATTTTCCTCTCCGCCCCCCTGGCACGGAACAAAAGGGGGCTGAAGATCGCTTTCCGCGGAGGCGATTAAAAATAATGAGATATAAAATTTCGCGCAGTAGAGGCGAGGGTCGCGGCTCGACCCTATAGGCGACGGAAGGTTAAAGATGAAAGCCTGCCAGGGACAAGGTCAACAGCTGACGGTTAACGTTAACCATGTCCCTTCCTCCCCTTCCCTGCATCCACCACCTCTGATACCCTCGTCGACGGATTCTAATCGCGGATCGATACGCTCGTTACTTTCTCTCCTACCCCGTTCAATTTATTAGGATCCTCCACCGTGTCGAGTGTTCCGTTCCTCCATCGTCAAGCCCGAGTGCACGTACCTCGAGATTTTTATCTGGACCGTTAATTAATCTCGATTGCGTGGTTCTTTTTCCTTAACGACGATCGACCTCCATTGATAATATTTGTTTGTTCCGTCCTGTTCGGCGAGAGATTCTTTAGGAGTGGATTTTTGCGACACTATTCGCTGGTGGAACGTTCCAAGCCGTTCTTGAAATGAAATAATGTTGAGATGAAATAATTGCAGTCCGTTTTTGTTTACTACAACGATGACTATACGTCTTTCAGATTAATCTTCAAACTCGAATTTCTCGAAAATAAAGCCTCGTACGAAGAAGTTTTATTCTACATTTTCGAGTTTTTTTTATGCGGAGTCCCTTTTTGGATGCACCAGTTACCGACCATTCCGTATAATTCTACGAATAAACTCTTCATATACCCATGTTGAGGGTACATTGCTTCTTTAGATTTGGCGATGTTAAACATTTTTTTCTATAAAAACAATCTGTTCTCCTGTTTCTAGCAAATATGGGCCTTCCAAAAGTTATAACACAGATATGGTGAAATTAATAAGTAACATTTTATATTTTAGAGTCGGTGGTAAATGACATTTAGTAGGGTGAGGCGATTGATAATAACGAATTATTGACGGTTACTGACTCTCTGACATCTCGTTTTATCATAAATAAATACGATTTCAATGAGTCTTGTAAGTGTATTATTAGACGTTGGGAGGTTAAATTGTGATTGTATCATGTGAACATTGATGAAAAATTGTATAACAAAGCAGTCAGAATTAAGTCAAAAAACGGAAGGATTAACCAGAAAGAATTTCGTGTCTGAGCAAGACGGTCTTATTCTACTTAGGGGGCCAATCACCGTTGGCCGTATATATTTTCTATTCCTAATAAATGAACTCTGATATGAATTTTCTTTGAAATTTCCCAAAGCAAAATTAATTGATCATAAATAATTTATTTTAAAAAAAAGTTAGAAATATGACCTTTAGACAACAATTACCTACATGCTATTCTGTGAAATCGTTTCAGACAGGTAAACATAAACAAATCGATATTGAAATAAAAGTTTCAGACCAACAAAGGTGCCCTAAAAAAAAAAGAAATATTTCTTGAACATAGTTAATACCTCATGTCCGATTGTCTATTAATAGTGGGTATAAATTTCAAATTCAATCAACGACTGGTTTTCACTCATTTTTTGCTGAGGAAGTGATCGACAAAGGATGCTAATACCGCGGACGCTTAATAATCTCGGAATAAGGGATGTTTCCATGAGATCGGGCGTTATCGCTGGTCGAGTTTCCGCAATTAACACGGAGAAAAGGGAACGATGGAAATAGTGGGCGGGGTAGAAATACGGCGGTGACCCCAACTGTCAGCTACAAAGCGGGCGAGCATTGGAAGGAGTGACTACGTTATTGCGTGGCCATGTATCTGGTGTGAACTTGATAACAGCAATTAGGACGTGAATAGTTATTGTTTAGCGGTGTGACCGTTTCGTAAGCGCTGGTGGGCTTGGCACGGTTTGGAACGTTCCTTCACGGCGAACCATTCGAACGCAAATCAATGTTAGAATTCACGAAGGAACCTTAGTCATAGTGGAAATATCTGAAAAAGTTTCTTTTATTACTATACAGATTGTGACACCTAAAACAGATCACCTGAATATCTCGGTTGTCATCGGTGATAGAAGAAAATGTGTGAAATCAAACTTGCATGGTATCGAAGAGCACATAATTTAATGTAAATAGGTTTTGATAAATAGACACGTAGAGGTCATATGAAGGTCAAGTTCGTTTTTTAAAATGGAAATACGTGTTTTATACTACCTTCATAAATGAGTCATTGTACGCGTCTTAAAACGCTCCACTAGATGACACGTAAAACATGTCTTTCCATTTTAAAAAAACGAGGTTGACCTTCATGTGACCTCTACGCATCGGTCTATCAGAGAACTATTTACATCAAGTTATGTGCTCCTCGATACCATGCAAGTTGGGTCGTACAAATATTTTTCTATCACCAGTAACAGTCAAGATATTCAAGCTACCTATTTTAGGTGTCTCACCCTGTATACATAATTCGTCTATAGTTTGATTAAATTAACAATGGCAAAAGTGGAGAAATTATCTCGTAAATTCTGTTTCCTTTCTGAATAAAGACAGACGGTTAACATTCTGAAGAATGAACATCGAACAGAGGCAAGCGTACACGAAAATCGACGAAATGAAAGTTATTGGAGCACGGTGTTCGACGGGAGTTTCGTTGAATTAACGATGAACACTAGTGGATCACTGATAAACGTGCCAGCACGAGCTACCAAACGTTCGCAGAGCATGAAGAGGAGACGACTCGACTGACTTCGCAGATACGTTCGGTGCCAGTTCGAAGGATGGAGGAGTCCTCACCAAGGATTCGTCCCTACCTGGATTGCTGGGACGTGAGTATATTTAATCGCCATGAATAATTCATCGTATAGTTAACAAATGACATCTTCAAATAATTTACATACACTCGTGGAGAGAAGATTATTGACTTCTTATCATGGTAGTATCCACTCATTCCATTAATTTTAACAATACAGTGTTGTCTAAGTAAATTGACCTAATTAAAACCAGAGATTGAATGTTCAATATTTCAAAAAGGACAAATCGGTTGCTCGAAGTTAATTGCGGAACGTAACTATCAGAACCTTTCGGTTCAGCGCGAGTTATGCTAATTGCACGCGCGAGTACGACGCTTTTCGGTCGAGCGATCGTTCAGAAGGATGCCAGCCACTTTAGAGGAAGTTCTCATTCCACGCAACAGCATTGTTCTACCGTTCTTCATTCCGGCTCCCCTTTAAAATTACACCCGCGAGCTTACCGTTGAATTACCCTTACGGCTGGTCTTGCTCGACGAACTTAACGTTTCGTTGCCATTCTTAACGTCGCCGTCAGCGCGAAGCCTTTTTCTCGCTCGAGAGTTCCTCAACTCTCGCAGCCTTTGTGCTCCCCGGGAAACGGAAGTACATTAGCGATTCCCAGAAACCGGATCGACCGACTGATACAACACTTTGCCGTTTCCACTTCGTTTCGCGCGCAGACGGACAGGCTTTTATTCGAATAAAAAATGTCCATTGAGGTAAAGTTTCGTGATGTACGTTCAAGAATCGTTGGGGTAAGATTCTGATCGTTTACGTTAAGAATGTTTGAAGGCTTGTTCTATCGTTGAAATGCTTGAATCAATGAACGGATAGAAAGTGACATTTGATTTATTATTAATATTAACATTTCGTTCATACAACAGATTTCACCAGTGAATGAACAATATTAAGTAAATGAATATTTCTAACCAGTGGCGCGAAAATTGTTTGAATATAATACAAGGAATTGAAAAAATCGGTATTTAATTATTTGCTTATTTTAATAACTTAATCTATTTGTTTACATATAACGTTCATTTACTGGTGTATCCACCCTATACCTTAGAATTCAAAAGCTCTTTTGTACTCAGTGTGGGTCGTGAACATCTTTCGAAGATGGGAGTCCTTGAAATCTGACATGTGAACCCCTGTAGAGACCACAGAGATGTCCGCCATATTGAAAGTTTTACACATGGAGATTTTAACTTCTTCAATTATATAGAATCATTGGAAAGTTCCTATACCATATAACGTTAATTGCAAATACATACATGAACATTTCTTCTGGTATATCTGATTAACCAAATTGGACGTTCTTTTTAACATAGACACGTGCGTAAATATATCACGCTATTCATTTGACAGTTAGTATTACCGTTAACTTGAAATATTTGATTACAGAAGTATATCTATATCTTTTCGCTTCTCGCGGAACGCGCAATCGTAGATTTTTTAATAATTAACGTATAGGGGGCCACGATATCAATTTCTCGAGGGTTCGTGTGTTCGGATCACGATTTTCACAATCCGATACAATCGGCCCGTTATTCCCAGGCGCAGCGAGCTTCACGGATGGAAGTGGTTGACGGTAAGCGCGGCCAGGGCCAGAATCCATCTCGAAATGAAATTTGCCTGAATGGGCTCCTCGTGCTTTAATCGATTCGCGGGAATCCGAATGCTCGCCAGCGCCAAGGCGAACACTTAACAAATCGCCGCGAGAGAACTTTCCGAAATATACATGACCTTAATGTGAACGTCTATTACGACCGGGGGAGACAAACAAACGCCTCGTTGAATGCGCCGCCATTGAAATCTATCCGAAAGTCCCCCGTCTTTGTGATTTAATTCCTCGCTGACTCCGTGACCGGCTGCCTCCTTTTACGCTCGAACGAAGAAAAGCATCCGGCGATGATCTTTTGCTTTCAACTGACTCGTTCTGCGAACGATGAATGATAAACTGATAATTCAGCAAGTAAACAATGTCAATTAACTTAAAGAATTTCCTAAGTAACATCGATTTTTGGGTGTTATGCAATATGTGTAAAAACTCTGGCTTTGGATACTGAGAAAGAATGAATTATTTAGATAACGTATTATAAGTGATGTTCCTTTTGAAATATTTTTGAATGTTTTCGATCCTTTCGAAATGTAGATCTTGTAGGGGGAGGCTTAAAGTGAAGTAGTGTTCAAAAGGGAAGAATGTAGTTATGAACACGGTGGAATATTATATATTTGAAAACTCATTCGAACCTTTTCATCTTTCTGAAACGTGGATTTTTCAGAAGTGAGTCGACTAAATTAGCGACCCTTTTGTAGAGGCGGTTCAGTAAGAGAAAAGCGTTTAAGGTTTTCGGTTTCGGTTGGATCAGCAGAGAAGAAGATTCGCGGAATTCTTATCGAATGAATTGGTGTTCCGTGTAATTGTCCCGCGACGTAAATATCCGCTGCAATTCCAATATCGGGTTGCAGTTTGATATTTGCGTCACGAATTTTATTGCAGCGCCGCTAACAGTATCAGGCTTCGAGCGTTTATTGCAGTTTTTATGAAACGAGAAGATTAATTTCAGGAAATATGGCATTTGTAACTTTTGATTCTGGGAATTTTGAATTTTGTTTGTAATCGGCAAATATTGAGAGCAGAGTGAAACGCTTTATAATACGTAAATACCAATTGACCCTTTTTCTGAGACCCTGAAAGTTATTTCGGACATTTTTCGGAAAAAAGTCATTGAGTAAAAATTAATGGTTATTTAAATGGACGCCAGTTATCAATAAATTTCAAAGGAATATCTCAAAAAATGAAACGATAAATAAATATTCATTTTAAATTGTTGTAATTACTAATAACCATTATGAATGATAAAACTTTCATTTTGATTACCGATAACCATTGTCGACGGCGTAACATTTTTTTGCTAACCAATATCGACGGCAAAAATTTTGTCTGGTTACATTCTACTGTAGTCAATTTTTATTAACATTACTGATAATTAATATTTATATATTTTCATACCGTTTGCTTGCTTAATAAAATGTGTATGCTTTATAATTAATTTTGTTGTTCATGTCCATGAATACTAATTATCAGTAATATTAGTAACAATTGACAATAGTCGAATATAACCAGAACAAATTTTTGTTGTCAATATTCGTTATCGGTAAACAAAATAATATTCGGGTCATCTATAATGGTTACTGGTAACCAAATTAAATTTCTGCCATCAATAATGGTTATTCCTAACGAATATTTTTTAATTAAAAATATTAACTCTTGTACCATCATTTTTAAATTTTGTCTTATAACAGTTAAGATGTCTCCATTTTCCAATTGTTACTAACCGAAGTCGGTCTGTCACGGTGAAGAGTGTGTCGGTGAAGTCAGCAGTGGTGCACCGGAACATCGAATCAATTTGTTAGCTCTAATTTCCCAATGGTCATTAGCATTCGTAATTCCCGTGGAAAGTTCGCAGACATTGCAGTATCGCTACGAGAGGCGATGCACTCACGTGCTTTGCAGAACGAACCGGCGACCATTGGGAAATGTTGAGGAAGATGGCGGAAGTTCGAAGCGTTTCTTGGATTCCGAGCAACGACCGTATACAGATTTCCTCTGGATTTATCGTCCTAAGTATCGTGTATATTTCGTGACGTTTTCTAGTAATTTCTAATTGAACTTCTCAACTTTTTAGGAATAATAAAAAAAGAAAGAGTGATTAGAAAATACGTTGAGAAATAATGATTCTGTAGAAAAGGATAGATTATATTCCCTAGCAAAAGAATGGTTCACTTTTATTTTGACCACAATACATAAGGATTGGAAATTTAAGGGTGGTTTTATAGTTTTCTCACGCAATGTATATTATATGTTACAATGGAGTTCGATAAACTGCCGAAAAAAAAGGGAAAATCAAACGAATAGGGTGATTAGAAGATAACGAGGTCCTCTTAACATTGCATCACTCATTAATCGTCCTTGTTCTATTAAATTGTATCTTCACCGCACAATAAGAAGGAGTACAGAAGGAATGAAAAGGCTTCCGGTTGCATTCTTGAGCCCAGAATGATTAAAACCGAACAATCTCCTTAGAAAGCAGTATAAACTCTTATCGTTCAATTATATATTTAATCACCGTATACATTACAGTCTATTTTGATCATACAATTAAGAAGAGTAGAAAATTAAATTAAAAATTAATTTCATGCTTTAGATTTAATGAAAGGCGATTGAAAGATTCGTAGTCAATTATTCTCCGATCAGCTTTCGGCCCATGAAGTATTTTCATTCAACGAGGTGACTGAACGAAGTAAAAAAAAAAAAGAATGTCGCGTTGTCTCTTTCAGCAGAACGAAGACAAGTATTCGGTGGCGAACAGCCAAGCGCCGTTGCAAGCTGGCGAGGACGAACACCCCGAGCGTGGAACATGGACGGGGAAATTCGACTTCCTGTTGTCACTTCTCGGATACAGCGTCGGACTTGGCAATGTCTGGCGGTTCCCTTACCTGTGCTACTCGAACGGAGGCGGCGCGTTTCTAATACCGTTCACGGTGATGCTCATAATCGCCGGACTGCCTTTGATGTTCATGGAGCTTTCCTTAGGTAACCGCGAACATTTCTTTCGATCACGTAATCCAATTAAAAGTTCCATGAAAGTCTGCACGAAAATCCCTTCTGTAGAACGTTCGAAGTAATATCTTCGGAAATATAACACCTTAAGCGGTGTGCACTGTTTGGGAACATCACAATTTGACCCGAACTCTGATTTCAATTTTTACGTTATAGATATTCTTTATCAGAGGAACTTCTAGATTAGTTTTGGCACCTGTAGTTTACATATACATATAATCCTAAGGGGGTTACATACCTTTCAGCTGTCAAATAAGAGGGAAAATTAACAAATTTTGTTCTATGTACAGAATTATTGTTTATTAAAAATGTAACCTTCCTTAGAATGTTCTAAAATCTACATTAGAACGAACGCGATCAGCAAGCCCAGCTGCTCTATCACCAAGTCGCCATCGATCTTTCCCAAAGCCATAGTGTTACAGCCACTGTAATCCACCTCCAGTGTCTCGAAAACTTCTACCACAATACCAGTATCGATTAACCCAAGTATAACTCGACGGTGTCGAAACTTCCAAAGACAATTCCATCAACGGCAGAACCAGAAGATCTCTCGGCAGACCTTCCGTTTCTCCGACTCGTTCTCAAAGTCTCGTTATCGTCACGAGACACGACAGCAGCATACATACACACCACCGATAAAAATACCATTTACGATTATGAAAACGGAACAACCAACCGAGACGCATAGTCCCATCGTAACAGAAATAGCCGGTTGGACAATGTACGAATAAGAATGCAAAACCGTTCTTATCCGTCACGATTCCCAAGGTCAAGTCGTTTCTGGCTGGTTGACACGCTGAAATAGAACGATCAATGAACGATCGTGCCGTGTTACCGGGTTACTTAACGTTATTTTTAGGCGTTCGTCCACCCGTGATATCGACCCCAAATGATACAATTGCAATTTTAAACGATACAAAGGCAATGTTTATAAAAAGGGAGAATTATTTATTTAAAGAGAAGGAGTACTTATCTTGACACGTCTTTTCGCATTAACTAGACTCGCTTTAACATTATACAATACGTGCTACCTATCGGGTAACACGTAACATTATATATCATTTATTGTTCTTTCTTTTCCTCTTTCTTACTCTCTCTTTCTCTGTTCCAATAACCAACCCCTCAGGCCAGTACGCGAGCCTTGGCCCGGTGGCGGCTTACAAACGGTTCTGCCCCCTTCTGCGCGGATTGGGATACGGAATGGTCCTGGTCAGTTCCGTGGTGATGCTTTATTACAACCTGATCATCGCTTGGACGCTTTATTACATCTTCGTCTCCATCAGTGGTGAGTTTCCAAGCTACATGTTTACTTGTGTGCTGTTACAATCGTGAATAGAGGGAACCCTCACGAGCAAACTCGGCTACCATTAGAGGAAAAAGTGATGTAAGGGAAAGACATCCTACCACTTGGTCTCGGAGTTACTGAAATTTATGCCAAATTCATGTTCGGTTTAACAATTACTTCAGTATTTGAAATAAATTTATCAAGCTGTAGGAGGTCCTTAGTTTAGTTTAGTTTAGAATGTGACCTGGGAGAGGGGAATTTTGATATTCCTCACCAAGGCCCAGCTGTGACTCAGCGTCGGTACCTATTTTGTAGTCCCACAATTGGGACTAGGGGGTTACCAGAGGAGGCTATTTCCACGACTTTCCAACCGTCCCAACTTTTTCAGACCTGGGCCACATGGAAAATTTTATTAATTTCTTTGCAAAAGAAATATCAAATATCACATTGAAAACGGGCGTTTACATTAGAATACCCCCTTAAGAGGCACAGAAGTCTTTTTAGAACATTTTTTTTCGAGTTAAAAAAAAAAGAATTGCCGATTGTCATCTCTTCCTCTCTAGTTCGCTTGCTTCACATTGCGAAACAATGTCTTAGCTGACAGTGAGTGTAAGTGAAACAGTGAGGAAGGTTCGAACAGCTGTTTCACGATGTTCAGCGTAGATAACGTGGACGCTGCTCCGTGAAGGCAGTTCCAGGAATTAGTGGAGATAAGGCTGTGTCAATTAAGCGGGGAAATATCGGGGAGAATTGTAGTTTCTTGGAAGAAATACAGTGCACGAGATAATTATATCGGACAAGGTAAATTGTTAAATAAGCGAATAAAAAAATATTCGCTAACAAAATGTTCTATTCATTGAAATATTAAAAAAACTAATATTCAGTTAATTATTTCAATTTTATGTTAATTAAGAGCTGAATGTTTTAGAACAATGAATAAAATAATTAAGTCAGACAAATATTATAAACAAGAATCAAACATCTGTAGTACAGTTATATTTTATCTACAAGCATTAATGTTACGACGAAATTATAAATAAAACAAAGAGATGCATTCGTTAAGGAAGATTTAGAAATATTTTGTCCGATATAATTATTTCGCATACCTTAGATTCAAGTGTAGGATGGAGCTCCAATATAAGGGTACCTCTAATGAGCAGTACAAGTGTTGTGTAAATAAGTGGGGTGAAATTATTTCTTTTCGGGAGGTTTCGTTCTCAAGAAAATTGAAAACATCGAAGATCACGTTTCATTGCGCGAGTTAACTGATGTTTGAGTATTGGCGTAGACAATGTTACCGTGCCGGATTTCGGACTGCGATGAAAATATGACATCATACGCGGGAGGTATTGATCTCTCGGTGCTGAAGTTGGCCCATTTCGAGCGGACCTTCGCGGATACTCTTTAACACCTAAAGATTTCCTTCGTTAAATCGAATTTGGGAAGGAGAAAATTGACGTCACGTGCCCGAAGTTGTTGCGATAATTTATTAGATGTTGTGTAGATTGTTGATGTTTGCGTATAATTGGGTTAGATGGTAATTAAAGTAATTAGTGTGAAACAGAAGAATCATGGACGAACATCTAACGATGAATGTTATGTACGAATATATGTTTACTGACGATTCCAGGGTAAAATAATAGAGGGAGCGGAACTGTTGTGTGGGAACAGGATGTCACCCCGCGTCGCCCTTTTTTCGGACACATCCAACCGCGATTCGTAACTCAATTTACTGTGTAAATGTTTTCTGTCACAATCAATTTCGATCGACGTTTTCTTCTAAATATACAACATCCTTCAGATCTGCTTTTCTTTAGCGATACTAAAAGTGAGAGATTATCTCAGATTGTTATTCAGAGGTTTTCTTATTTAATGATTATTATATAACTTAATATCTAAATATATGGAAGCATTGCCAGCTTCCTATTGCTTCCAAGTATACGTGCGATTCGTAAAACCCTATGAAAAAGTTAAAGGATGCTTAATTAAATGTCCATACTAAAAATACAGGAAGATATATTCTTGTCGAACCTGAGAAATACGTTTATGACACATCGTACGACTTGTATCCATTACAAACGTGTAAATGTCATGTAAACTCACGTTTTCACAGAGTAATTTGCCGAAGTAACTACGTAATAATAATATATTATCCGAAGCAAAGGTTTTGGCAAGTTGAAGAGCAGAAGTAAAAAAATGTTATTGCAGCAAATAATTGTTTCTGAGCTGTTAACTTCGAATATATCGTCTGTTATAGGGGCCATTAATTTTACGTTAGAGAAGGCTTTAAAGTAACTCTCCACTGGCCATATAACCCACAAAATATTGCCCATAACGCTCGTAGCAGCTATAATCCCGAACGTACACAAACACTACCGTTCTGACCAACAAAATATGTTTAGCGACGTTCGGCGGAGGTGGTAAACTGCCGTGGAGCAGGTGCGAGCCGCCATGGAGCACGGATGATTGTTTTATGCCGGAGGCTGCGGAAGCGTGCACGTCCCAGAACATGACTTACTTTAAAGGGAGATGCTTGAACTCTACCCAAATGGCTTCCATGGGCCTGACTATCGAAAACATCACTAGCGCGATTAGGAAACCACCGGCTGAGGAATATTTCAAGTAAGAATATTCATCAAGAAGTATAGTAGAACCTCGATTATCTGAAGATTATCACCTAAAGATTTGATGAATGGTTTACCGATTATTTTGTCTAGGAGATAGAATAGACGAATACCTTTGTACACTCGTTCTGTGCTCCAAAAATTTGTATTTGGGAATTTTTTATAGTCGACGTTCTACTGTATTACCATTTGCAATACTGATCGTTTTAGTAATAGCATAGATAACGTCGATTGGGTCCACTTAGACTCACAGCAGTCGTTTTTTAAAGCTTTTGTTAAGTGGGATGAGTAATTTCGACCATTTTGATTTTCATTTCGAAGGATACTTCTGATAATAAAATTATTTTCAACGAGGGTTAAGCTGGGAGAGATTATATACTAGCCTTTTATGGTTGGGTCTGAAGAGACTCCGGCATCGGTTTGCAATGGTTAACGAATGTCATTTGGATGTCGTATATGTATAGTGATAGATGTTTCTTTTTCTACTTAGCAATCACGTGTTGGGGATGAGTAGCGCGATCGAGGAAACGGGTTCCATTCGACCCTCGATGGCAATAAACCTCCTTCTAGCGTGGGTCATCGTCTTCCTCTGTCTGAGCAAAGGCGTTCAGAGCTCCGGGAAGGTCGTGTACTTCACTGCTCTCTTCCCGTACGTCGTTCTGGTGAGTGGTTACTTTTCAAGCAACAGTCTCTTTAATTTCATTTCATAACCAGTGCACGGTTATTCTTAATATGCAAATTAACCTCGATTAGCAACAGGTCATCTTTTTGAAGATTCGTGTATAGAGTTTCGAATAGATGCAATGAAATGATAGTAGTTAATAATTACACACAATTTTGACCTTTCGCGAAGCCGATTCCTTTCCATTTTCGAGCAATCGTTCAGCGTCGCGATGATTTGTAAAGCAAAATCGCTTCGTTTTTTTTTTTGTCCCCCACAGATCGCTCTTTTCATTCGAGGCATTCTGCTTCCTGGTGCCAAGGAGGGCATTCTCTTTTATCTGACGCCCGATTGGAGGCGACTAATGTCCGCGAAAGTGTGGAGCGACGCCGCGGTCCAGATCTTTTTCGCCCTTAGCCCCGCCTGGGGCGGTCTGATCACGCTCAGTTCTTACAACAAGTTCAACAACAATTGTTACAAAGACTCGTTGATCGTCGCCGTGAGCAACATCGGGACATCGTTGTTCGCCGGTTTCGTGATATTCTCGGTGATCGGATTCCTGGCTCACGAGCTCGACGTTCCGGTCGCCTCTGTCGTCGATCAAGGCGCTGGACTGGCATTCATCGTGTATCCTGACGTGAGTCACTTAACATTGTTTATTTATTTATTTCAGGGCCGTTCCTACGTTCCTGGCCGCCCGGGTGTAAAATCAATATCCATGCCCTTATTAATTTAATATTGTTTTATTAAAAATATGATATGCAATGTTTGTATTGAGGCTTTGTTTTTGAGAAAATCGACTTTGGAAATTAATCCGAAACACGTGCATTGGGCGTGGTATTAAGTAGAAACGGAAAGCAATGGAGAGACACGTCTTATTAAATAATTCTGCATATTTAATGTATAAAACTATTTTTTTCAATGAAAGATATGTTAAAGAATATTATGTTCCAAATTGAGACGATTTTTAGGTTAGACAACATATAAAATGATTGAATGAAGTTACGCTACAATCTTAAGGTGGCAATAATTGGGACAGGTACCCAAAATGTGATGTTCTACGATGGCTTTCAAAATCCCAAATTCCCCACTGAAATTTTCGTAGTATAACGCCTGTGACGTTATTAAAATGCAGGTAGTAGCTCGTTTACCGGTCGCACCGGTCTGGTCACTGCTTTTCTTCGTGATGCTTCTCACCCTGGGCCTCGACTCGCAATTCGCCCTGATGGAGACGGTCACCACCGCCATATTGGACGCTTTCCCGGCGTTAAGGAACTTTAAAGTATGGGTAGTTCTAGCGTCGGCTGTTTTTGGTTACGCCGGAGGGATTGTTTTCACCACCAACGTGAGTTACAGATACAGCAAATCATCGATGAGTGTTCGAAGGCTCCTCGGGACTGAATGTTTACACGTCATCCCTATCACTGGTGGGTCTCCTGCGCAACCAATCAAACACCCAGTGGTGGGGATGACGTTTGAACACTCAGCATCGAGAAGTCTTCGAACAGTCATCGATAATTTACTGTATATTATCTATCTTCACGAGTCTATTCGTATTACTATGACAATAACTTGGAACTTTCATCTCTTTTCCCATTTCTGAATACAAAATGCATTTCTACAATAACAAAAATACATCCATACGCAATTCGAATATCATAATAGGCAGAAATATAGACTCTCATATTTTCTTCTCTGTAATGCTTCCTTTTCAGAACGATTGTAAAGGGTATTAAATAAATCAATTTTCTAGGCTGGAGTCTATTGGTTGCAATTAATGGACAAATACGCGGCGAACTGGTCGGTACTGTTGATCGCTATATGCGAATGCATACTGGTCGGATGGATCTACGGTGCGGATCGGTTTCTCGACGACGTGCAACTGATGATCGGGCCGCGTAGCCGACTTTGGAGGTTCTTCTGGACCTGGATGTGGCGAGTCGTCACACCGGCGACGTTGTTCTTCATTCTCGTTTTCAACTGGATCGAATACCAGCCGCTCACGTACGGTGGTTATGTGTATCCGAAATGGGCGAACGTTGTCGGATGGGTCATCGGAATGATTCCCGTTCTGGTCATCGTTGGCGTGACCCTGGTACGTAATCAACGGTTCAAACGAGTTTCATGTGAGGAGCGAACGACACAAATCCGTCCGTCGAGTATTTAGAGATTCATAGCTGTTTCAATTATTCGCCTCGTTCGAGGTGAGCGAACTTAATAAAAGTTTCATAGCTTGCAGAGTTTTGACACCCAGATATCGACTGTATTGAAAACTACTTATTATGTACGGTCGATTGTCCCACATTATTAAAATTTATTCATAATAGAAGCTCCCTTGTTTTGAAATGATAATTTGAAAAATACAGGATGTTACCGAAATGGTGGTTCAAGCCGAAGGGATCTGCTTCTACATGGAAAAATGAGTTAAAAATGTAGAATAACATTTTTTCGTACGATGCTGCGTTTTCGAGAGAATCGAATTTAAAGATCTGCTGGATACGCGTGCAATGCCTTGATCAGTAGAATAGGACTTGGCTACCGCGTCTGATCGTTGCACTCTGTTTCTACTTATTGTCACTGCATCCACAGTGCTAAGATGAATATTGAAAATTGATTATCTTCGAAACGAAGCATCGTACGAAAAAATGTTATTCTATATTTTCGACCTATTTTTTCATGTAGAATCACATCCTTTTCGGTTGTACCAATATTTTGGAAACACCTTGTATAATAGCTGTGCCGATAACTAATTGTTTGTTTTTCATAAGAATCAATCATTTTTGTATGAAAATCGAAAACAAATACTTATTTAATGTTCAGTGCCGAGGAACCATCGAGCACTCATCGAGGATTTACTGTAATATAAACATAATTCCAACTCTAGGCATAATATATGTATACTTTTGTCTTACGATATTCGTTCAATGATTATCTTGCCACGTTTCACAGAATCAATTGAAAGATCCACGTCGACGTTCCGCCTACGATGACGACGACGATGACGACGACGACCTGGACAACCGGCCATCTTATCAGAGACACATCGAAGGTAGAACGAAGAAGAGAAAGGGGAAGAGAGTTTGGCGGCGGGCGAAGATGCTGTTGCAACCGACGTCCGATTGGGGACCAGCCGCCAGAAATCCGTCGACGCCATCAAGAACGCTCACTCACACACCATCGCCAGGTAATCAGGACCTTAATTAAAAGACTAAAACACCGCGCATCATCCGGTTCTCCCTGTGTCTATATATATTTATTTTAACAAATGCTCAAAGTGATGTCCATCAACTTCGATGTATTTCTACACTAACCCCTCTTTCTTAGTTATTTTATTATTTAAATCAACTCTCATACATTTGTGGATTTTTTGTACTCAAGGTCGCATGAAGGTCACACTATTATAGGTCAATCGATTGGTCTTGATCTCAACTGTTACTTCACGCTAATAAAAATATGTAGTTCCATTTAAACAACATCGATGACCTAGAAATTTCGATAAATATGGCCTTGAGAAAAATTTTTGCTTACTAGTATTTGCTCCTTATAACCAGATAATACTTACCACATATTTTTTTGTATCTTCAAAAACAAGTGAGGTGGACACGTTAGGTGGAATACCCTGTACAGAGCCATTCCTGGCAGGGTATTCAAAAGGTGCATGAAAAATAATCAAAACTTTTCTGATGATTCTAAAAATTTTAGACAATCAGAATTCAATGAAATTAATTTTATATATAATATTTGTAACACTACTCGTACACAAGAATAACTATCTTTATGGACAGCCTAAAATAGCATATGACATTTAGCCATATTTATTGGATTAAATTCGTGTAGGTAATTAATGGTCGCTATCTATCAACCATAACATCATTATTACAAACATTATGCGTTAGTATATACGTAAATGTTACGTAATACGCAAATGTTAAAGAACTATTTATACAATATAAATGTAAAAGTAAACAGGGCATATCAAATTCTTAATAGAATAATATTAAATTAATGAGGCTGACGATTCTGTTTTTGCATCCGGACGGCCATCAACCCAGGAACGGCCCTGACTCTGTACATGTATCTCGATATTAACCACCAGGCCTGGTCAGCCCCAGCGCCATTATAATCGGCTCTCGGTTCGGCCGTGCGCCGCGGATAATTAATTTCGATATAATACGAGACGGTGCAATCTAGGCATTACGGGACCGTGTGCAACATCGGGATCGTGTTTTTTTTTTTTATTAACGTAATCGCTTCCATGTCCCGTGTTGGTCACCGCCTACGCAATGTGCATAGTGATCGATAACTGCATGCGCCCGATGCGCGGATACTTACACCACGATCGACATTATTCCGTTGGAGGGGTTGGGGCAACATATCACGATTTTCGGAGGCAGATTGATCGTTATTTTGACCTCCCCCGCGTGTCGTCGTTTTAATAAGGTTTAAGAGTTTAATTAACGCCGTCACTCGGTTGGCTCGCGAGGTGTCAAGGACGACGGATCTCGCCGAACGGAAATTATTCGTGAAACTGAATTACGGCTCGTGGGATTTATAATAAGCGTTTCGGAGCGGTAGCAAAATTCGGTTCGGTTCGCGGAGGTGTTTGCTGATTACAAGTCGAATTTTACCGTTCGATACACTTGGCGTTTGAATATTGAGAAGAGTCTTTTAACACTTTGCTGGCGGGAGGGGTTTTGTGTGTTGCGAATACACAACTCCAGGTGTTTTAAAAATATTTAGAAACTGCTACTTAACTTCTATTTTTCAAACTTTACATACAGGGAGAGCAATTTTTCCCTATTTTTACTATTCTTGTTCTCAGTTAAGATAGACGTACTACTATGTACTACCTCATCCGACATCAAAGTGTTAATTCGTGCAACGTAATTGTTTAACTGTGAAGGGTGTGACGAGGGGTATGAAGATGGACGAAATATACATATATGAAATTAAACAAGATACGGAAATTCTACTTTTGGAAAGTTGTTTGGTAAAAGCTGATTTTATAAAGTGGATTATCATCGTTTAAAGCATTACCTCAAATTTCTCTCGAAGACCGAGTTTATGGTTTCATTTTGTCTAAATAAGTAAACAAAATGGTGAAAACGGATTTAAGATAATGTGCCCTTCTCTTTTTATTATTACATCGCCAGTGCAGAGTCTTGTCCACATTTCTGTAAGGCTATATCTTAAAGACTTAGGAAAGTTCAGTAGAAATTAATCATGGTTGTCTTCATGTCAGTCCTCTTCATCTCCAAACTGCATTTGCCATGAACTTCTGATTATTTTATAATAATTTAAATAATTGTACACCTCCCAGATAGCACATGACGCCTTGAACATAGCTGTTGTGCATGAATGAACATGTCATGTGCTATCTGGGCTTCGACATAGTTTGAAGAATAAGTGTGATCCAGGTCCGCCAGGTGGCTACGATTCCGTACGAGACACCATTGTCCTGGTGAACGGTCAACCGATGATGGTGCAGCCGTCGGGCTCGTCCGGTACCTCTCAGAAGCTACCCGGTCCGTCGATCCTGAAGAACTCCAGTAAAACCGACCTGATCACATCTCAACAAGTCTGACACGATGTTCATTTCACCTCGAAAGATGAGTCTGCCCAAGAATCTATCGCCAAAAACGCAACGCGCCAATAACAGGTACACAGCTGCATATCGTGTGTATAGGTTTGTAACGATCGATCGAAAAGGAAAAAGAGATTATTTTCTATACAAACACCTCGGAACCACAAGAATATTCAGTATTTTCAAGTAACCGGGAAACTATGTACATTTTAGTTCCATTATTAGAAGTATACAGGAGATACTTATATTTATTCGATGATCACGATGTAAGGCTTGTTATCCCCTTTCAGAGGTTTAACAGTTTAGTCGACTGGCTCGACGTTTATATCGATCGGATGTTATTCAATGACCATAAAAATTTACTACCGTATCCGAAGCGAGAGTAATATACCGGAGGAGGTTATTTAGGTAACGGTGTACACGTGGAACGACAGAGTACGTAATAGTGTCGCTCAGCGACGCAAGATGGCGGATGAACCGAAGTGACGGGCGTGCAGAGAAACTGTGCGAAACGCTCTCTACACGTCGCGCGACATGTGCGAAAACTTAGAATTTCGCTACTCCACTGCTTTCGATTGTACATACATGAAGTCGTGAAAAGGAATTAACAAATTTACCGTACTCATAGCGAAGAAAATTACCACGTTTTTCGCTGATCAGCGTGTATACGCGGACACACCACAAATTAGAGACAAATATCGAGACACAAGTTAGGCAAACGTCAAACTTTACACCCCACCATCACGTGGGGGTGCGCCATCACGGTTGGGTTAACCGCTTCTGTGTAAGGTTTATCCAAGGTATACTATTTTACCCGCATAGTGATCGATTTAGTCGTTCCCATGCGTTAGCCAGATTCGATTTAACCCAGCCGAGAAACGATCGGGGAGTAATCGTGTCGACGTGGAGAAGCACTTTGTTGAAACAAGGCAAGATCAATCGCGGGAAGGGATCGTTGTTACCGGGATCGTTCAGACGCTAAATGAGTTTTGTAAATTTGTAGTTTTCGTGATCGTTGAGTATAGTTCGATGTTCGACTCGCGAGATGATGTTCCACGTAATTCGTGGAATGTGTTATCCCTTTCTGGGGAGAATTTCATTTCGAGAGTTTGGATGTTTTGCCCGCGGTACCAAATCGAGGAAGCGGGCTACTAACGTGGAGAACACTTTGAACGTGAAGATGATGCCGGTCCTTGTAGATACATATAGTAGATTTAGCGTCTATCCTTACTGCGTTGTGTTATCGATGTCCTCCAGCAGAGAAAGCGCAACAATCGTACAGCCGACGTGGTGAATAGAGAATTATTTTTTTCAAGCTGGCCCCTGTCGCGATTGTTGCTATATTTTTGACTGATGCTTCGACCCTTTGAGCGGTGTTTACGGGTAGAACGGATAAGTTAACAGAAGAAGATAATGTATACGATTGTAGGTAAAATAGTGCGGTGAACATTTGCAGTCAATTTACGTTGCAGTGTTTCAAATGCCTAATCGAATAACTTCATTGAAGTTTTTATTTTTTCTCCACGAAGTTCCTGTTATATCTGTTTTCTATCGAGTATGCGTAATGTAATTTCCAGAGGTTCGACTTGATTATTTTTTCACAAGACTGCTTAAAGGGTTAAATAGTTGGACGTAACAGGAATGTATTTCCTGACATAGATGAAGACTATTTGTCGTTAACTATTGGACCGACGAATCTATCAATATCAAGAGCACTCGAGGAGCATTAATACATTGATTGCTATATCGTTCGCATAATGACGATATTCTTTACAGAATTAATTTGACTACGGTGAAAAAGGATTACAACTTGAAAAAACCCTTATTTCCAAATTAGATACAAACTTAGTTATCTTCATCGAGACAGAGAGCACGGCGATTTGTCTGTGCTATTTAAAGGAACAATATTTTCGCATCGGTTAGGGTGGCTTTGAAGCGTTTCCGCGAGGGTCACGCCTTCGATTCCTATTAATTTTCGGGCTGTCGAAAACTTTCAGGGAAAATAGGCTAGGTATTTTGCGCGACGGCGTGGTACAGAAAGATGCTGAAGTGGCCAGCAAAGTGGATGGAGCGTAAATGGGTGGGGTAAGGGAGATATTTTCGCGCGTAACGGGGACAAGATGGCGGCTGTGTTGTCGTTTCAGCGGGTAAAGAGAACGGTCACGGGTCGTTCCCGACCGGGAATGTAGGGAATTATAAATAAATTATTAAACAAGTCCGCGCGCGACGCCGCCGTGTGGTGCTGGACGAATTAACGCGCGTACGTACAGTCAATAAACGTGAGAGATTCGTGATTCTTTATTTTTTATGTGAAACCCCGTTTGTAAAATGTTGCTAGCTGTATCGTATGTATAACAAAAAACAATTAACTGTACTACATCCGTATACACACGTTACAGGATATACATATAGTATATATAAATGTATATATATATATATATATATATATATATATAAAAAATAACAATATAAAAGAAACTATTAACGTTACCGAAACCCGCTGCGTTCGAAGGTAAACACAGAAAAAGAGGAATAAATATTATGTTAACTTCATATCCGTGAGCGTGCCGTAAGGAAATCGCGTGACCGTGATGCGTGAGTTATAAATCGTGGAAAAAAAGTGTGTGCGTGAGTATACGTATATTTTCTAGTGTAACACGGGCCTAAACTCCACTTTTCGTCCTCTTAACTTAACGATCCGCGCCGCCATGTTGGATTGGTTGCGCAGCCTGTTGTTACTAGATCTCTCTTCTCGTCCGTTAACTTTTTAATTGTTTCACTTCTTTATTACAGTGTATCGTTAGGGTTGATGTACGAGAAGAAGAACGAATTTACGGTTTAAATACGAAGCGGTTATTTTAATTGTTACTCGATTAAGCTGGAAAGCGTAATATTTGTGACGTTACGTAGTAATGTACCTTTCTTTTTACGAATTGTTTTTATGCGAGCGTATCCATCCCATTCAGGCGCAAGTAATCCCCCTTTGCCAATCGATCCTTTGCTCAAAGGGACGAACTAGTGGAGGAGGATCCTCGACGTCTACCGTGCACGATGGATCCTCGGTGACCTAATTAACGTTTTAGAACCTAGTCGTTGTTAATACCCAGAGCTTCAGAGAATAGGCAAATCCATTCGATAGGACGCCAATTCGAATCCCAAGTATCGAATGAAGGACACACTCGCGTGTGTCGAAGACGTTGAAAGTGTTTTTTTCAAATCGATCAATGCTCCGAAATGTCATACATATTATATACATTTCAGTAATTTTCTCGACTACTAATAACGATACGTTCGAAGCAGAGTTGGGCAGAATTTTATTCGAATAATACACAGTGAAAAGCAGCAGTATCTGAGGGTGTCGTTCTGAGCTTTAAACAGTTAATAAGATTAAATGATTGTTCGACAAATGTCGATTCATTCATAAAGTAGAATGATTTTATTATAAAAATTGAAATTTCCACGTTTGAACAATTAAAAATAACGAAATACTTTTTTTTTATTTCTTATTCGTTATTCGAAACTTTTTATCTAGATGAGTTTGCCCATCTCTGGTTCGAATTTTCGCATTTCGACGATTAATCTCACGTCTGATTTTACGAAAGCGTCTGCTAATCACTCTAGAAGGAGATAAAAATTCCTAACTAGCCATATCCGGAGACATAATCATCGACAGAGCTTCTTTGTTAAGGGAAACCTCGAGAAAAACGGCCGCTTAACCAGACGAATCGTGATCAGTGTTCTTAAAATCTTGGGATTCGCGGATAAAGGGTGACTGATAGATAAGCGTTCGACAAACTTCAATGTCCCTACAGGCTATACAGGCGAATCGAATGCAGGTTTAAGAAGGAACTTAACCGAAACTAAAAGAGGGAGAGTGAGATATTTAGTGCGTCATTGACAAACAGACATCAACAATAAATAATACTTATTAATTGTAATGATTATGTTACAAGTAATGAATAGTAATAATATCGTTAGCAGCCGGTTTATACCGGCGTGGCCATGTGGTCGACTGTCCTAGGTAGGGTTAAGATTCAGTGACGTAGAATTATCAGTAACAACACGGTAACATTGCCACTAACACGATAAAAAACAAACGGAACATAAATTACCCGGGTTTAATTAGAAATAACATGGAATTTCGTTCCAACAATTTATCTTCGTAGCGATTATCAGACGAAAATACAATTTGGTGTATTGATTCTTTTCTGCCAGTCCTCGTGTCATTATTGTTATCCTGTTCCAACGAATCGATGGAAATAATTGCAGAATTAAAAAAAAACAAGTAATTGTTACGGGTAGAAAGGATATTAACTGATCAGGATCACTGACTCTGGTGTTTCCCCTGCTCTTCGATCACCCATTACGAAAAATTGGAAACAGGGTGTTCTTAAAGTATTTAACATCTGTACTCTATTAATGTTACACGTGGAAAGTATAAAAGCGAAATAACACTGGGGATGTCCACTGACCTTGTACAGTTCAATTCTTGCAGCCCAATAATAATAACAAGTTCAATTCTATATCATAAACAGCCAATAATTGTTTTAAAGATTTTCCACTTCCATTGCAACAAACAAAAATCAATATTACTTTCATCAATAAGTAATCGATTCCCTTTTTTTTTATCAAAGTAACTATTTGCTTCGAAGAAAATCAAGAATATCCAACGCCATTTTTATCGACCAGAAAGTTCTATAGAATTTAAATTATATATTGCCATCTTACGAGGAAAATATATAGTGGATTACTCATTGGTATACACATAATAAACACAAAAGTCGCTCTAGTTCTTAAGTTTGTTTCTCAAAATTCTATTCGACTGTTTGTTAGGAGTTTAATAATGTAGAGTGTGTCTTAGTTTCGACGTAGTCGAAGCAGAAAAATGGCGTAGAGGCGTTTCACAGCGTATCGCTCGTTCGTGGATCTCGATTTACCGGATAAACAGACGGTTACCGGGTAATGTTACGGACTTTACGTCACTAAGAGCAACCAGTAGAGCGAACAGTACAAAGTAAACGTGTCCTAGGAGCTAATCGGAGAAAGAGGAAAAAGCGTTCGAGGAGGAGAATAGCGAATAAGAAGGTTGCGTTAAGGTTATCGTGAGCGGTGGATAAAATTAGTTATTCCCTCTCGTTAAGGCAGATTTTTGTACGTCGGTGAAGGAGAATTTTCGTTGAAAATCTTCGGACCACCATGAGGAAAAATCGAAACGCGACGGACAATTCCTGAAATGAATTTTGTTATACGAAAAAACGAATTGGAAGTGATTTTGGATTGTTTCACGCGTAACTGTGTTTCCTCGGTTTGTTTCTGACCATCAAGAAGAAAAATCTTCCCTTTTGTGATTTTTTTAAATTATTCCCTGGTCTTAATCAACAATTTTTTGTATACCGTAAATTTTCATTCATACGAAACTTTTGAGGAACTTTTAAGTCGGGAAACCAGTTTTCTTCTTTTGTTGATACGTCTGCACGTACAAATCTACTTTTTATTCAAATGAAAAGCCGGTTTACAATCAAAATACAATAAAGAAGAATAATAATACGTACGAGTGAATCAGAAAGTGAAGGCAATTTGATTGTTCCATGATCAGAAAACCTTGCTCTCCGGTCTTGGGAATTTTTTATTGTAGACTGAAACTTGATCATGAAGCCGATTTCGTGTTGCATAACTTAGTTTCATTCGGCGATAACGTGCAAAACAGTGAAATGTAACAAAAAGTAAGCACCGAACAGATTATTTCCGCCATATTTTCTACGTAATTCCGCAGTGTCTTGAATCTTATTATAACGATCCGCATAGTATCTAATTTTTCAAGAATGTACCTATTTGTATACAAAGACAATTTAACATGCAGAAACGAGATATTGTTATAAACAAATTGCCTTTATTTTTTCATTTACTCCAGTACACGTAAGGTTAGGGTAGAGAGGTGACAGAGAACAAAGCAAAGACACAAAAAAAATAATGAAACTATATTATTGCACGTATATTGAACAGATACGTATATACATATGAAACAAAGATATGTATATATATGTATATAAAACAAAATAATATATATGTATGTATACAGGGTGTTTCGTAATGTTGGTGACGCTCAAAACGAAGGAGGATTAACAAATCGATGGATAATGAGGAAAATATAACGAAATTCCAGATACGATGATTATATATGTACTATCGAGAAAAAAAAACAAAATAAGAAATTGTATTAATATACATGTACATTGTGAGGGATATATACATTGTGTAAATTCTATGTATATGTATATGATGCGTGTGTAATTAATAAAGTGTTGATATATATGGTTGACGATACGCCGCCGCGTCTTTCCCTTCCTTTAGATCGCAATTATAAATTAAAACCTACCCTCTAGTCTCTCCTTTTTTCATCATTCTCTTTTTTGGTAAACGATCGTTCTTATACATAAATACTATTACTTAATTAAGTCTAATAAAAATGGTATTCCCTTGACATGCTACTTCAACATTCTCACCCGTTTTGTTTGGCTTGTTTTTTATTATTCTTGTTACGGTTTTCGAATGTCTTCGACACGAGACATTAGTCCGACTTCTAAAAACGATCTCTTTGGGCAACCACCGAGGACGGAATGATTCAACTTTAAGTATTAAATTGTATATTATTATTTACCTGTATGAAAAATATAGATTTCAAAATATATTCGTTTCTTCGAGCTCTTGGAAGGTTTCAGAAATGGTAATAGAGCGTTACCATTAAGGTGATTTTTATTCTGGCAGAGAAACGTCGGATTACGATATCATCGATAAATCGATATCTGATCGTACGTGACACGATAGCATGAAGTGTCTCTGAAGGAGGCTACACACAGTGATGTTTATCTAGAGGCCTGGCCTCATGAGATCGTCTTACGATCGTCTTACGATCGTCTCTCGAAGTTTCCTTGTAATCTGTAGCGGGATGGTAGGGACTTAGGGATTCTTACAAATCTGGAGTAAGATTTTGTAAAGTAATACTTCTAATAATACGAGTATTACTTTCGTATCATTAGTTATTACTTGAGTATCCCTAGTTATTACTTCAGTATCACTAGTTGTTACTTCGATATCACTAGGTCTTATTTCTGTGTCACATGTTGATACCTTAGTATCGCTAGTTGTTACCGTAGTATTACTAGTTCTTACTTTAGTATCACTAGTCTTAGTTCGGTATCAGTAGTTATCACTAGTTTTTACTTCGTTATCACTACTTATCACTTACTTTTACTTCGTTATCACTAGTCTTACTTGTTATCACTAGTTTTCACTTCGTTACCACTAGGTATCACTAGTTTTTATTTCTTATCACTGGTCTTACTTTGTTGTCACTAGTTGTTTATTAAGCCTATCACTACGACTATCTCATATTTGCCCATAAATGTCCCATAAATTCTCAAATTTTTCCGGCGCTTTTCTGAATCCAAGATGGCGGAAATTGGAACTAATTCCAGAACTTCTTCCAATACTTAAAAGTTTTAGAATTAATTATTTTGTTATTATTTATTATTTATTATTACTTTTTTGGTTAATGAATAACGCATATGTATGGTTTGACTGTATTTTTATTGAAAAATCGTAAGAAAATATACAATTTACAATGGTATTTGTATAAATTTAATAACAATTGCTTTAAATACTATTTATACGTAATACTACTTAATATAAAGGCACCATTTTCGCGTGACCGACACAAGATCAGGTTGCTTGTATCTGTTTTGAATAAAAAGAAACATAAATGATTATTAATCTATACGAGTGATACGCTAGTTTAGATTCAAATATGCGAGAAGGGCCAAGGAATCCCAATACGCAAATATATCGTTACGTTTCCTGCCTCGTGTCGCCTTCACAGGAGCCCACAGCTGCCCGCCACTTGCCCGAGCTGACTCGGTTGCCCATCACTGGTATAGAGGGTGAATCTTTCGCTGCTAGGATCGAGAGGCAAGCCAACTGTTTGGTCATTTAAGAGTCGCTAGCTACTCCTCCCGAGCAGTCTATGTGTGTGGCGGAGACAGATTGTCGGTTTTCGCTCTGTCTCTATCACACACATAGGCTGCTCAGCAGGGGTAAGCTACCGTTGACACCTTTATGGTCACGGCAGGTAAACTACAAAGCAGGTGGCTTGCCTCTCGACCCTAACAACGAGTGATTCACCCTGTATACAGTATTGCTGTCGCTCGATTTTTCGCACTCCGCACCTTTCACCCTTTCTGACTCTTAACGTCCCTTCGAGAACCTTCGCCCGTGCGTTTGCCACGGCTCCTACTATTCCGTTACAGATTACAAGGTGATTTCGAGAGACCCAGCTTCCCCAACGTTAGACGATCTCATGAGGCCAGGCCTCGAGGTAAACCTCACCGTGTATGGCCTGCTTGACGGAAATGCACAAGTTGTCAATGTCGTAAAAGACTTACGCAGACTTGATTAATCAGTACTTATCACTTTAATCGATAATCGAATCTAAAACATAATAGATTTATCGATCACCGATCGAACGATAACTAAGCTTCTGAACACAATGACGATCTCAAAGGTGATCCCTGAATAAGGTTCAACTATAAAACATCTTTCTTAATTCTTGACTTTTTCGGGGACTGCAGAACTATCCTATAAATCCATTCATTTCGTTTTCTATATCGAAATGAGAATTCCGTAACTCCTTATCGAAGCGATTATGAAAATACTTTTAGTTTGAGTATCTGTTAATTAAATTTTTCCTTTACAGTGGCTCATTCGAACAGTAAAAAGAAATGAAAAGGTTCACAAAAAAAACCATGCGTGATGAAAAAATAAACAACAATCTAAATTTTAAATTTCCAATAAAAATTATCAAACCCAGTCTCGATTCGATCAGAAGGCATTATCTGCAAATTTCGGTTACCGTTATATAAAATTTGAACGAAGCTATACGTAGATATTTCCTTCCAGCAGCCCTTCAAAGGTGTCAGACAATCCCATCAAGGGACCTCCTTTTATATGCACTCCAAAAATTTATTCGTTTCAGAATCGATCGTTAATAATTAAACGATCGATTACGTAGTGGTGGGAGGAGGTCCGAAGATGACTTTGCTCCTGGATACAGCTCCCAGGATCGGTTTCAGCAGTATGAAGAAGCCAGCGATGAAAAGGGACGCGAACACGAGGCTCCTTCCGGTTTCGCCGCCTGACCACCATCCGGTATAGGTACCAGTGATGATAGATGCAAGCAATAGTATCGTGACGGCGATACCAGCGAACGCGTGCATGATCTTCAAGAGGACTGGCCTGAACCTAGGGTACAGCCATTTTGGGTTGTTGGTGACGATCCCGAAAGCTGCCGTCAGAACGGCCATTATGATACTGATCAGGCCGAGGATCGAGTGGGGTGTGGCGAAGTGGGCTCTGTTGCCGTTGATTTTATTAGTTACGATGATAATCAGGCCGATCAGAACGAGGAGAAGACCTGCTGTGTGCAGTATCCAGTGCATTGTCACTCGGTTCGATCTGGAGATCTTCGAGCCGATGTACGCCTCCCCGGAAACGCTGAACACTGCCTCTGTTATTAGGAGGCCCACCTGCGAGGAAACGAATGGTTTCATTCTTTGATTGTGGGGTGGGCTCGTGGACTGTAATTAAAAGATCTCCTAAACTAGTGGTTTCTCGGTATAAACAGGTTAATAATTTTTTACAGGGCATAGCGAGCTGTATCGATCAATGCATTAAAACATATATGGTTCCATTTAAAAAAATACAGTTAACCTTTATATGTCCTCTATGCCTCCACCTACAGAAAAATTATTCACATCAAATTATATTCCCCTAGATACCATTCAACTTTTGTTTGAAACATATTCTGGTATCACAAGTAATTTCAGAGATATTCGAGGATATCGATTTAAATGGGACACCCTGTATAATGAATGTGTATAGACCGAAGATGTAAGTCGAGATGAGGTCTTTGTCTGTTACATTTTTCGATTGTAATGTCATGGTTGGACAGAAATTTTGTTAATACGTTAACGATCATTTGACGATATTCTATCCAAGTGGGGGATATATTTTTCAAGCAATAGAAAGTCTTCCTCGGCATTGCAACGCGAATCATTTTTTCTCCAGAAGTGGACGAACGTTTGCCAGTGCAAACACGTTTCATAACACGTGGATGCAATAGATTCTTCTTGTATGCATTCGACGAGTCGTCTGGTTACGTAAATTTTTGTTTCGATACGAAAGCCCTCTGAAATGGAAACCGAGAAACGTACATAATCGCGGAATGTATGAGAATTTCTTCAGTTTCTTAGAGAGAAACCGTACTGCGTGGGTTAATTGTTCGAGTATTTAGGCTACTTTAATGAGTAGGTAATCATGAGTTTGACGAACAATGAAGTCACCGCGTTAGACGTACTTCTGCGAATTCGATCATGAAATATTGAACACGGGATCCGTATGATTCACGAGATCATTATTAAGTATATCTTGAGCGTCTAGTTAAGTTCGACAATGAAAATGATCCTGAGGGTAATAATATTTAATTACCCTTCAATTACATTTTAACCAAGATGTGATTATCAGTGTGACATATTTTTTCTTTATCCTAAACTTATTATTAATGAAAAACCTGTTCACCATGGAAGACAACTTAATTGGTTATTTATACAGGTCCCTTACTATTAGTATACTCTACTATAATTTTTCATTTTACTACTTGTACGGTAATACTTGGATTAATATAAATAATGTTCATACTATAATACTAATTTAGTTTGCAATTGCATTCGTGACAAAAGGATTCCTACGCAAACAGACTGATCGTATAAAATAATCGAATTAATATTTTTCTAATTGATAACGCGATATTAATGGATTAATAATCTACTAGTTGTGTAAATTACTTACCCCGATACTCATGCAAATGGGATGCCATGAGAAGAAGCTGTACTTCGCGAAGGCAAGAACCAAGATGTATATTACTGGGGCTAGTAAAAGAACGTGCGTCAGGCCCGAGAATGCCATCGTGACGTGGCTTGGTGAACCCTTGCCTGATGTAGACTCGGTCATTTTCGTTTGAGCTTTAACTGGATAACTGAAAAGGGAATATTAAATTTAATACTTGTCCTGAAAACACCAAGAATGCATTTTGGTGAATGCTTTACAAAATATTATACAAAAGAAAATTATGAATCTTATGTTTGTTAATATATGTATGATTTATGTCTATATCAGTTTTAAACTTTAATAGTCTTCCCCATAGCGAAAAAGCCTTCGAGTGCAAAAGGTTAATAGATTACGAAAATTTCCATTTAATAATATACGGGAATTATTAAAATTAAAGTAAAATAATTTCGAAATAAACAATAGTTTCGACTTTACAAAGATATACCCTCGTACTCCTCATTTCTTTCATGGAACCGTATGTATATTTTAATTATTCCACACGTGAAATTTAACAAAAATTCTGGAACTACGAATGAAAATTGTAGGAGAAATCGCGCCTAATGCCACGAAGACTCCCGTTCTTCGATTCACAAGTTGGAACAGAGGGAATTCTTTTGACGCAACTGCTCCTACGATCGTTTAAGATGCGCGACGTGTGATTCATTGCTAATTGCGCGGCGGCACGATTCCACGTTTCTTTCAGCATCCACACGACCGAACCTACAGAATCGCCGTCGTCTTTTCGGATTGCACAACCTCGAACTTAATAAACGGAGCCACTGATCAAGGAGAGGCTCATTCAGATCGAACAGCCTTAGAGTTATTTCCGCCTATTTTTATGCGGGATAATTATATTTTAATTGTCCGTGTTATATTTAATTACTTAATATGCAGGGAGTAGTAATTATAGTGTTACGTGTAACTTTCAGTCGTCGACTCGTTATAGCTGTGGTAAGTGTAACAAAGACATTTATTTCAAAGATATTTTATTATTAATTGTGAATTTTTTTTACTGTACTTCATTGGACCATGAATTGACTTCTATTTAACATTTTCCACTTCACACACAGGAATGTTTACGTGTGACTGAACGCACGTTTACGAGGCACAAATACTACGTTACTTGGTAATAAAAGATTTTTTCCTCTTAATCATTAGTCATCGCTGGACTCCGGATGTTTATGCAAATTTACACTTTTATAGACTGGTTTACAGTAGCTGAGATGAAGCAGAGGTACGTCTTTTTTTATTAAGAGACTTCTTTTTTCACAAAATTTCATTGCGTTTGCATAAATTGCTGAAATAAAGTTTGAATAATTGCTGAACAAAATATTGATATCTTTCTTTCTACCTTTTTTACTTCTTACTCGCTAAATAGAAGTCATTGAACACTTGTTTATGTACTTACAATTTAAGAAAAAGCACAGTAAGTTAACACGTTACACTCTGTGGCCAATAGAATATTAAACGCCTTTACTACGAATATTATCACCTTACCCGAAACCTTGCTGTACTAAGATTAATACTTAATTGAATCGAACGACACTTATCGCGCTCCCTGAAGTATCGTAATTGACAGTGGTGATTATTAAACCAACGGTGCACTATATTATCGCCGCTTAAGTGTACAGATATAATCGACACATTTATGTTGCAACCACTGACCCACTGTTGTACGCATTATCTGGTCTAGTTAACGTTATCTCGTTCATTGGTCTATGGAGCCCCCCCCCCCCTAAAGATCTTTTCTATCCGTGTCGCGGAGTATGACGGCGTAATTGTTCCAAACAGCAGCAGGTTCAAGTGTTAACGACTGCAAATTCCAGGCGGGCAGTTTCCTTAAATTGAATGAACGGGGACGGTTGACGATGGGCGGGGAAGGTTTCGGATGACTGGCACTTGTGAGGACGTTCATTAGAAAGCAGAATGCAACTTCCTCGATTTCCCACGTTCCATTTAAATTTGAAAATGCTTCGCGATAGAAATCGGGAATATCGTTGGTCGAGAAATGTCACCTAGACGATTCGATTAGTATTTATTACGAGACACACCGAGGACACTTATTTACTGGGCTTGCGATAGATTGAAGGGGAGATGTGTGTCAAATTTCGAAATCTGAAAGTCAACATCTTGAAGAAATGAAAGATAAACTGTGGATGCTTATGGGAATGCAGGTTTTTATAGGTTTTATAGAAATTCGGATACAATTATACTTTGGTCAGTCTATTAAAATCTTTCTGCTCCTATGATCCCATTTGGAATCATTAACTTATTATCAAAACTAAGAAAAATTAATCACGGAAGAAGGATTCTATCGGTCTTCAAATGGCACAAAAATTCTTATGTAGAAATGTAGTCTAATAGAATTACATATAATTTGTAATTTAATTCTAATTTCTTTATTTCCCAGTTAAAAATGATTTATTATTTATTATTATTGCGAGTAACAAGGATCTCGTAATTCTTAATAAATAATTTTACGTCAGAATTATTTCTGAAATTATTTTCATCACCGATGTCTGCTGAATATACCAAATCATGGAACTCTGAAGCAAAGATATTAAAAAATCTATAAAATTGCGATCTTGGCAGTGGAAACACCAGTGACGTTGATGACTAATCAGGAAAACAGTTGGGGAAGTACCAGGAAGACAGAAACTTAATGTACGCCAGATAAGAAATTTAAAAACGAAAAGAAATTAATAATTCCGATTAGAGATTAATTATTGCAATTCATGCGATATCAGAATATCCAGAATGTATTTCAACCGTGAAGTCGATAGTTAAATGAAGCAGAAACGCAGTTGATAATACGTGGTTATCAGTACCAGCTAAACATACAAGAACTTTGTTTTTTATGTGCATCGGTAAGCTTTCTTTCCGATGAAAAACACAGAGATGCTTAATACTGAGAAAACAGTATTAAATACACAATATATACATGCAGTCGACAGAATTTCTATAGCGATCCTTGATGAACATTACAAGGATTCGAGGTGACATATGAAATGTAAACATGAGGTAATGTTTAAAAACATTGTTACGTTACGACCACCGCGGGCATGGCTGAATATAAAACTGAGAATAAGATTGTGGGACATACGATGGTTTCGTTGGAAGATAAACATCGAATAGAAACGAATTCGGGCGAATGACTCGCATGTGCGCAGATATGAAAAAGAAACAATACCTGTTTATCTTACCTGGTTGCAACAGGCTGTGAGAAAAACGTTGTCTTTGAGAACCACAGAATAATTTGTGGGATTTCAACAAAATCGAAATTGCTTAACCAAATACAAAACTGAAAATCATAAACCAACGATAAAAATCATTGAATTACTTTCGATTTGGACGATCATTGTTGGTCGTAATATAACAATGAGGAACAAAAAAGAATTATTTTCATATTGTCAGGGATTTAATTAGCCTTTCCCTGAATTAGCTGCGATTTTCAAAATAATCGAAACTGTTGAAATTTAATAATTGTGTCGATTCCCAACCTCTCCTCAAAAGCCTCTTGTGAAATTTGTGAAATAAAATAACCGATTTTATATTTACTCTATAATTATCCTGTCCTTTCTTACAGCATTTAATAAACAAAATTAATTCAGTATCATAGAAATTGCTAAATATTTAAGACATAAGTACATTTCAAAATCTACAGCCAATCAAGAAAGAATATGGCATATTCAGGATCAGGAGCACAAAATTACTCAAAATCACCTGTTAAATCCCTGGCAACAGATTGTTCCACTCTGTAATTTATGATTGATTTGCAGAAAAGAAACCACAACGATGGCGTTTGGCAAATTGGCGGGAAACGATCTTCGCCTTGGATCCTCGATAAATTATCCTGGCAGCGCGGGGGCCAGCGTGATGCGATTACACTTATCATAATATAATCACGCCTGCAGCGTAACGATTCGATTCCGTGACCCGACGCGCGGCATACTTTCAGATGCGATCCGCTTTCACGGTCCGAAGGGAAAACATGGCTGCTGTTAACCGCGCGAAATCTCGCTGTTCAGACGGTTTGCGTGCGCGCGATCACGGTTATGAAGAAAAAAAAAAAAATAAAACGGAGCACGTTCACGGTTTCATGGAAACGAGATAAAAGTATCGTCCTCTGAAAATCATGGTTCGATCCTCCCCTGGTTACATAAATGTCGATGTAAAAATAGTCGGGGAGTCTTGAATCCCCTTGAGAAAACAATCTCACGGGTCATCGACTTCCGTTCGCCGGTCCCATTATCTACAATCTACTGGACAATTTTCAGAAGGATTTTCTGAGTGAATTAGAAGAAAGTAAATTTTCAGGATGAAGAGTATTGGAAGAAGAAAAATGAAAATATGGAATTGTTATTGAAACAAATGGGATTTATGAGTTGTACAGATTTTTGATTTTTGTATTTAGTTTCGATTATGTGAGCCGTTCAGAGGCCAGAGTGGCTGACTCCACTTTCTTGATTTTCTCGAAATTTAGTGCTGAAACAATTGATTGGTGCTTAACTTTGTGTATTTAACATAAACTCTGATAATTTTCGTGGATTTAAACACCTTGGCAAATAAACGACTCAGGTGTAATGTATATATTTTGATGTTTCAAGCGATGTTTGGGTGGATTAGGTTGAGGAGATTAAATTCATTATAACAACTGTGCAGAGATCGACAGAGGAATAACACTCTGGAGGAATTCTTGAATTTTTTTACTACATTTCTATTATTTGCTTAGGCTGTACAATTGATCATACAGATTTATGGTAAATTTCAGTATACATAATAATTTAAAATGTATCTTCACAATGTATTGTTTCACAATAAACTGAGTAGGCTGATGACAAACAACAGCGGTTGTCATTCAAATACAATGAATATTCCAAATAACATTGTAGACGACATTACCAACAATTCTACCGAACGAAATACTGAATTATATTCAATTCACCGACAATTCAATACACCATATCCGATCAACGATATGTACTGAAAAGGCTTCGAACACTCATCGAAGATTCACCGAACATCATGATCTAATTATCCACACGAACTCGCCAAAGAACAGACAACCAAAGAAATAAAACAAATTCAAATTCCCCAGCGTTATTCCAGTAAACAATCTATAAAATCTTCACAAAAGAGTTTGATCTAAAGAAAATTCAGATTCCTCCAATGTTCTTCCAGCAAACATTCCCAACAAGAATTTCACTCGATCGATTGCTCCATCTAGAGAATCGTAGTTCTTAGGAAGAAGATCGACGAACTCACCTCGAATGGTTTGCGATCGGTCGTTCCTCCCAGAGAGATGACACAACCGTGAAGAAACGATTTTTCCTGATTTTCCGAAAGCAGACACGTCGTGCGTTTTCGTGATCACGCGCGCGCGACACAATAGAGAAAGAGCACGGAACGAGGCCTGCGGCTCGACTGATCCACACGGCGAACCGCGCTCCTCGCAATGATCTATCGTCGCTGCGTTGCCGATATGTATGTACCTACTTCTTACAAACGTCGTTGCTGGAAAATCGTCGAGTAAACGCGGCCTTGGGCTGCGCGTGGCTGATCACCGCGATTTTCTACGGTCTGTATAAAACGCTGATCTCTATACAGGGTGTTAATTTTAACTCGAGCATCGAAATTATTTCCGGTACTATTTAACATCAGAACTACCAACGATAAACGCATATTTTATTCGATCATATAAATTAATTAATTTCTTTAATGTCGTATCGTAATAAAAGTTACAAAAGATCTGAGAAAATGTATTGCTATAACATTTTAATCATCGTTGTAAGAGTGTATTGGCAAGCCATTTTGATTTGCTTGGTAGTTCTAGTGTTAAAATAAGAAAAAATGACTAACTAGGATGTAGATGGTTTTAAGGTGTGCATGTGATGGTGATAAAATGGTTTTTACTTTTTATTACGCTTATTTAATTCTGCATTCTTCAAATTGAAGCTGATTTCTTCGCCTTGAAGGTCATTTCAAGGTCACGGTCTGTAGGTCGTTGAACTTATCTTGACGCCGACTACCACATCGCGTTATAAAAAATACATGTTAATATGCAAAAGATACGATGACCTTGAAAAAACAGTTAAAATGACCCTCACAAGATTTTTTTTATCACCATCAGATGCACGTCTTAAAAACTGGGTACATCCTATTTAGTCATTTTTTCTTACTTTCAATAGTAGTTGAAATAATTTAGGGGCTCCAGTTAAAATTAACACCTTGTATATTTGTTTGTTACACAAGTGATACCACGTGGATCCTACAAACTCTACTCTCGAGTCCTTTCGAACTTATTTTCCCCCAAAGATACTTTCTTCTCTCGTTTCACCTTCGAGCATCGGTTTCGAATTTCAGTTATACACGGAAAACCGTTAACAAGACGTATGAATTATTCGTTCACGCTTTGATTAATCAAATTATCAACATTTACATTTCGAGTCGATCAATATGGTGGAACAGGTGACAATTAATAACTCATGAATTTCCAGCGAGTACCCACCTGTTATGCAAATTGTTATTATGCAATTGTAACGACAGATTTATAGTGATTCCATTGCCACGAGAGGAAGAACGTTGCCGATACAACAATATTCGATTGTTCGGTCAAGACTGGAATTTGCCGGTGTAATTTAACCCACGCCGCCATGTTTGAAGCCGACGGTCGAGTTTTCAGTAAAATCAGCTCCTATAACAAATTTCTTCCTAATTCACAGAGACAGCATTTTCATCAATGTTTATCAAAAAACTGCAGTTTCTATGCTATTTTTCGTTACTTAAAATTTTCTATTTTCCATTCCTTACATTGTGATTCTATAACTTCGAAGTAGTGAATTACTAACTTTGGAAGTAAAAACAGGAAAGAGAGACACATTGTTCGTTTAATTCTTCTTTTCTAACTCATTAATGACCGAGACAATTATTCCCGTTTCACTAAAATTGCATTTGTATGCTTAGAAATTCCAGATCAATCACCTTCCCAAGTGATCCCATCGAAAGAATCTTCAGTTCAAATGGTAAGTTTCCGTTAATTCATTAAAACATCTTAAAAATTAAAAAAAAAAACAAATTGTAAATTAACCAGAGGATTAATAGAAAAAAGCATTAAATTCACCGTCTGTTTTTTCAGTCTACCTCGAGCCCAATATTCGGGAGACTCTATGAATGGCAAGTCGGCTTGTTTCGGTGGATTTAAGCGATGCATTAATAACACGGGAGCGGTTTATGGCGGTACTGAAGCACTCGTGGCTGCTGATTACATGACCACGTGGCCGTCTGATTACGCGCGATCGTCAGCAAGAGTGTCGTGTTTTTTTTGCTCTCGTTTCTCCGCCCACGTAACGAAGGTCTTTTTTCGGTGAATCGAACGATCCCTCGACGGAGAGCCAGCACGATAAAAAGAACGGCTCTGATGTTTCGGGCGCCTCTGCATTGAGAAACGTGTCTTCCTTCGTGGAATTCGGAACGACCACTGATTTCCCATCGGATACGATGCTTTTCGCTGTTGCGTTTGTTGACGGTTCTGTGCTCGTTCGCGAAGAGGACCACGAAATCCTGTGATAGAAGCGACGACAGGGAAAAACGAAACGTATGTTTCTTCGTTTTTTCTTTTTCTGACTGTCATCGACTCGATGTATGAACATTCTTTCATAAATACCACGGGAGTTTGTTTTGCTATTCCCTTTCTTTAACCTGTTGAGGGATATTAGCACCAGACCTGGGAAAATTTTATTCGATATGGAAATAAGAAATAATTTATTCTGGAACTTTATTTTCAGTACTGTTATTTGAAAATAAAAATATTGTCGATTCATTTGAAATAATATGGAACCAAGAGGTTTTATTTTAGGATATCTTTAGAGCAATTTGGTTTAAGCAGCTCTTCAAAAAGTTCATCCGTGAGAGATTTTTGCTTGGGTCCAACTAATATCGTCGCGAATGAAAATAATCGTTCCACTGGTGTGGAAGATGGAAAAGGGGTGTTACTAATTAGAAAAATCTCAATAAACCAAACTCGGACCTAGTCATCTGATATAATTTCAAAGAACAATTTTACAATTATTTCTAAGATTTACTATTCCATCAAACATAAACTCTGGTTCTATACTTTTTTCCGCTAGAGTATCTATACATGTACTAATTTTCTAAATCTGTTACCTTGGCTATTAATACTATAACCACAGATGCCTTATTAACCCTTTACTATCCACCTTTATCTCGACTTATATTGTATCGCAAAAGGGTTAATATAGTATTCCAACACTGGTTAAAGAACAGAAAAAGATCAGCCATTAACGCTTAAAATTCCGATATCTGCAGTTCGATAAATTATACTATAATACATTCCTATTATTTCCGCATTCGAACGTTCATTCCCGACGAATTACTTCATCCATCGTGGTGCACGAAGCAAAGATAATAAGATGATAATGGTGTGTGTTTGTGTCGGTTGGTATACGTTGTCGAACACAGGCTGTAAAATTAATCGTTCTCCGCGAGAACAATGCTGTTACACGGTAAATTGCAGCTCGTCTGATAACACAATATTTCTTCATTGATCGATAGTCACGTTAGTTGTAATTCTAACGAGCGATCGTCTTCGTTGATCGCACAGGCCATTTGTTCGAGCGGAAGTGTGCATGGACAGTTCATACAGTATGCACGCGAGCGCATAAATCGGCCTCGACGTACGTCGGAATGTACTCCGATTGCTTATTCGAGGCGTGGATGCCAACTATACCCTGATTATGCAAATATTCGGCGGTAATAACATTAACAATGCCGGCAACTTCATGCATGCGTGAATCCTTATCGTGTCTCTATTTAAAAACCACGGGACAGTGTTCCGGAGACCGAGTTTAGAAGCTTAATTCGGGTGTAAAAATGGGAATTTCGGAACCAATCTTGGTAAGTATATATTTAATATTCATATTTATTAAAAACATACAAAATTAATAAGTAATGCTTTTTAATAATAATTGTTTTATAAACAAAATAACAAAATTTTTCTTTACGGAGTTATTATTGTCAATTTATAAGTTCACTTAAGAAAATTATTATTAAAATATATTACTTAATAATTTTATATTTTTTGAATAAATGTGAACATCAAATACATGCTTACCAAGTTTGGTTTTGAAATTCCCATTTTTACACCCAAATTAAATAACGTTCTGAACTCCTAAATAAGCCTTCTGTACCACTGTCCGCCGCCATTCATAAGCGCAAATGTAGCGAAAAAACCTAATCCAGTACCTTATAAGATGTGCTCCTTGATGCCACTTAAGTTCCACGCTTCAACAATTTGATACAGTGTACCGTTAAGTCATTATTCGAGATGATCAAGTTAGCTGAGACACCCTTATATATTTTCTAGCTTCGAAGATGAGAAATCGATATCAGTCGATATACACTCGATTAATTATTATCGTTCAAGTTACGTATTATCCAATTAAAAGCAAGGAGCATCTCGTAAGCTGTAAATATATCTGTGTACATCAATTGAAATATTAAACTTTCTTTTAAATAAGACAGTAAAGGGATTTATTGTCTCCGATAAATTAGTGGAAATCTCCGTATAAAGAATACGAGTGTTTACCAAGCGATGTTTCCTTTCCCTTTCTTCCAGTATTCTTCTGTAAATATATCGTCGGGTAAAGACTTCGCCGACCTTTCTCCGATCCTTTTTATCTACACGGTATCTTGTTTGCGATACCGTACGGCAAAAACCGTGTGATATATTGGGGGATTTATTTCTCCCGACGTTGCGACCATGCAACCGATTTCTGCACGACCAGAGAGGACAAATAAGCTAACAGATGTCTGTGAGTCACAAGACGTTGTCGATTCGCGAGCGAACTCTACCACAGATATTTTTGCAATGACGCAGTTTTATCCACTAGTTGGACATTCTTCAATTGGTCGTAACTACGGTGTCAACAGGAGATTGTCATCGCGTGCTCACGAGTGATACGCAATAGCCCAATTCGCGCTTTTGGATAACGATCATCTTCCATTGTTACAAAGTTGAAACAGATTTTGAATAAACTCCAGAAACGTTACAATAACAGACTTTACGAAGGTGAATTTGCATAAATTTCCACGGTATAATTATTAGGGATACCAGAAAGTAATATCGTCCTTTGTGACAAATATCCTTTTAACTTTCTAAACATTCTAACTCATTTTGTGTCTAATTGTAGGTTTTTATACAATAACATAACCTAGGCAAAGGCTTATGGAAAACAATAACTACTTGAGAGATTAATGCCTTTATATATATTTCAAAATTTGCAATAAACTTTATTAAAAAAAAAAAACGAAATTACCTTCCGATACCTCTAACATTTATTAGAAACTTTTGACCTGGAGAAACTTCTCGAAAACTCGGGTCAAAATGAACCCAGTCATCGTCGTTAACTTATCATCCGAGAGTTAAGGAAAATATTCAGGATTTTCCTGACACCAATTCTCCCTGCCATAAACATTCACATCACGATCAGTGAACCCGTTTTGTTTGTTATGTATCCATTGGAACTACCATTCTACCGGCACGTGGCCTCAGCTGACGGCCGGTTTGTGTTGACCGCGAGTCGTCATGACAACTGGAACGATCGCCACGCGACAAGGACGACAACTCACGTCGGTGTTTCGTGGGCGACACCGTGTGTAATGCACCCAGTGTATTTACGACACCAACAGACTGAATTACTCGTTCTGAGACGGAAAAAAAGAAGAAATGGTGGTGGTGGATAAGCGTGGATCACTGATCGTGTCCACGGCGGGCCACTTCTTCGGCGTACCGCTCGAGGACGAAGAGATCGTCGCTGAGGATGAATCGATGCTCGACAATTTCTTGGACCGTGCCACGTGCAGAACCTTGTGCGCACAGCCGGCTAACACCGAGAACAATGCAGGACGATTGAAATTGAGCAACGATCTACCTGTTGGGAGAAACACCTTGGTCTTCTTCAAGGTAACCGGAGGATCCAAGATGGCGGTTGATTGGGTTAGGTTGCGAATTATAATTGAACGCGATTAACAGGTTTACTGTGTACGTTCTTTGACTAATTTGGCACCCGGTAACGAGTCAATAGAAATTTCTTTTCTTTCTGCTGGGATTTATTTTTCAATTGGTTAATAACAAGATTTTTTTTTTAAAAAGCTTCGTTGTGGTTTGTGCATTTGCAGCGATGATTGAATGAGATTTACCGAGTAGTTAATTTGTTGTAGAAAATTTGTTTCATTATTAGAAGTTGCACGAGATGAACAATGAAATAAATTGTTCGTTAATCACTGTTGATGTTTTCATGCCTGGGGTAAATTTTATATTTGTTGTCGTTTGTAAATGTATAAGGTTTCTCGGTCCAGTAAATAACATACAATTTACAATTGTTTGGATTGGATAATGTTAAATATGTAGCAGACTGATCGTTGATAATAATATGCATGCAATTACACCAAAATGTAATCTAGCAGCCGGTAATCGACAATATTCATGAATAATTTCAACGAAATTTACATGCTTACAGTATACACGAGGGTACAAAATACTATAATAAGGAAAATGTTAATAACGTTCTCCATATTATTTACCGTTACTCTGAAATTAATTAAAAGTTTAATAACAATATTCATCGATACAGCTGGTCGAATCTCCAGTCACAGAGAAGAATTTTCACGATCTCGTCCACGTGACGTCCACCGGTAGCGGTGAACGATCGACGTTGATCGAGGCTCTGCGTCAAGTATGGGCGCCGACCCTACGATCCTCCGGTCTGAATACGACGTGTTTGAAAAAACTGGAGGAGAATCTGCTCGGTTCATCGACCACGACATCCGTCCTCGAGGAGGAGGATCATTGGAGGAAGAAATGGGAGGAGGCGAAACGTTCGCACGACAAAACGATCTACGGCGAGGCTGTAAAATCCTTGAAAAGCATCAGGGCCGAGCTGGAGAGCGCGGCGGTGGCCAGGTGCTGTGAAAATCGAATAAAACCCATGCATAAACTTCCGTTGCGCTCCTTTAGTTGATTCGTGAAACTTTCCGACGATACATTTCAGCTTTCCTTGAAATTATTGCACCGTTTCTTAAATGGTACTAGTCTGCTTTAACGCTCGGCAAGTTGACGATCGGATCGTTTTATTTAGACTGCTGAATAAATTCTGTCTATCGATCTTTTATTCGATGAAAAGCAACCAATTTAGTTCGTTTGGAAAACTGTTCGTGAAAACATTGTTTAATAAATTCTACCCTAAATTGAAGGGATGGTTTGGTTGGTGTGGAGGACGCTGTGGAGGCAGTTTCCGGTTACGTCGACGATCTATGGAAACTGGGTGATCTAGTGTACTCTGAGGATCGTATGAAGTCGTTTTTGGACATCATCGGTGATGAAGTAGTGTGCCTAGTCCGAAATCTCATAGACGAGGTAACGGTAACATTAATATCGTTAACCCTTTCGCTGCTAGTGGCGCTTATAGACGTCAACAGACGTTAGTGATGTCTTTTCAATCGTAAACCGTTGAAAAAAAGTTTTGTTGTTCGTAGCGTCGATCACGGTTAGACATATCTTCGCTCGAGTTCCTAACTGTTCTAAATCCACTTTTAAAAAAAATTTAGTTAATCAATCTACTTGTGTCTATAGGTCCAAAGAATAAAAATTTACCACAATTTAAAGCAAATTCAACCTAGGTAACGATAAATATTTATTTAAGTCCTGACTCCGAAACTTATTAGTTTTTTATATTGTTGTACATCGAAATTCTAAGGATAATTAAAAATTTATGTTAATGAGATAAAATTTCATTAAACATTGTAATAAATCCCTGTATGCTTATTTCACTACTTTCCAGCTTCTATAATATTAAACATCGCAAACTTGAAACTCAGTTTTCTCAGTATAGAAACTAGTGGAGATAGAACAATTAAGAATTACAGCGACGACATGCTGTCTCTTACGAACTGTTTACATTCGAATTTTCTGCAGCGCAGGGGTTACAGTATACAATACTATTTTCAGAAATGAAATTTGTACCTCTGTAAAAATAGGTTCGTTCTTCCGACGATCGAGTGAAGGTGGAAGCGATCTCGGCTGGCGCGAGTATCTGCGAAAAATGGACCAACATGGCGGAGAGGTTCACCACGCTCTTCTGGCCCCATCATTCCCTTCATCCGTGGAAGGGGTCGACTTATGTACCCCAGAGATGTTCCAGAATCGGTATACGACTCAGGTACTAGCGCTTCTTCTTCCTTTTCCTGATTTCAAACGAAAGACAAAAGCGATCTTGGTGATCTTTAGGCAGATCGCAGAGCTACGTGCCCAGTATCGGCAACTGACCAGACTGCTGACACCGAACGAGAGATCGGGACTCGGCACGGACACATTGATGCAATGCTTCGATGATCTTAGAGGTATCCTTCCTTCATCGATCGTGTTAGATAGAGTCTTTTTACCATTGATAGCGCTCGAAGATGTCGAGAACGGTTTAACCACAGTAACAGTATGGAAAACAGTTTTCTATAAATAAACCGCGGGTATTTGTGTATTCGAAGCACTTCCTATCTGTAGAACAGGCTACAATATTAAGTTTACCTAACGTTTTGCAGAGTCACTTTGTGATTTTAATTCACCGTTTTGCTAATTTTTACAATTTGTGTGTTATTACAAGAATTATGGACTATATGGTTTCGTGGTGTTTATAAGTGCAAAAGGTAGTGAAACAGAAAAGTTTAGGGAAAAAATAGTAAAGTTTATGAGGAATTTTAAGTCCATCAATCCCTTCGTTTACGAAGAATTTTATTGTAAGATCTCGATTTTTGCTAAATAATCTAGGAAGATAATTTGTTCTATTAACTTATCAAAAAATAATCTTCTATAAAATATCTATCTATATCTATCTATATTTGTCTGTATCAATCTATATCTACAAGTATATAATCAATGACACTAATAATGTTTCAAACTATCCTTAACTATTCCCATCAGTCGTCTTCGACGACGACGAGAAGAGCACCGATTGGAATCGTCTCAGAAGAAAGATCGAAGAAGGCTTGATACCAGCCGAAGAACGGGTCGCTCAAAAATTAAAGTCCCAAATCGCCGACGCCACCACGGCCAATTCCCTGCTCGCTGAATTCCGACGTTACTTCGAGTTAATGAAGAGAGACGGATTGAAAAGGGCTCTTCGCGGAGAACGCGAAACGTTGCTTTCCGCCTATAAAGACCTTATTGGTAATTCTAACACTCATCCAACTATACAATTGGACCATTCTATAAAAAATTAGTCAATAAAGTTTCCACTTAACATTTGTAGCTTGCGACTACAAGAATTATTCTATGAAGAAACGTAGTCGAAATTTACTATTTAAACATTGAAACTTCATTTTAAAAAAAAATTCTTTGATAAAAAGAGCCACATCTTAACATGAGAAGATCACGAGATGTAACGCTGACTATTTTGCGACCCTTTGCATCATGACAGAGCTTGAAATGCTGAAGTTAAGCTTCAGTATTATAAGTAATTATAACAATTCTGTAATAACTTCAGTTTTTCAAACTCTATCATTGTGCTGAATTCCACCTTCCCTTTAACTGAACCCACGTGTCGTCGATCGTGCGATCGTTCGAGTCACAAGCATTCTATAATAAATATTCAAGCATTGTTTAACGCGTGGAAACTAATTGCAGAGTCTTTAAAATTAACGTTTCACTTTCATACATCGATTCGTTGTTAATAATTCAAATTATAGACAATTGCGTGGCCGGGCCAGATACAGTGACGCTTTTGGACATTCCGAGAATACTTCAAGAGGTTCAAGCGGCCAGATCGGCGGAGATGAGGCTGGAAAGTTTAAATAAATTAGGAAAAGAGCTGCTGGCCGATCTTCCCGGTTACGAGGAAATCTCCTCGAAAGTGATCGCCGCCCTGAAAGACGTCGAGAGGAAGCGACAGAGCTTCCTCGAAGCTTGGGTAAACTTTTGATCTTCACTTACATGCTCCGGCAACTCTGACAATGGCTAGAAAGAACTCTGGTCTAACTTGGTCCATTTAAATTTCTGCGATCGCTTTTAAAGTTTGGTCGGTCTTGAACGTGTAGACATTCTTACATTCAATAGAACCTTCAAAGAAAATACGAAAGAGGGATTCTATCAAGAAAGAATTTAACAATTATTTAACGCCTATTTAACGCCTTTTTGATCCTATATTCTTTAAGAAGCACTTGCAGTAATTCTACAGTTTCAAGAATGAAAGGTTTTACATTTTCCAGTAACAATTGGCACTTGAATATCTCCGTTTGTTTTGAAGATGTAAAAAAACTTTATGAACAAAAGTTGTTCAGCACAGAGAAACCTATAATATGGGAATAATAATTTGAAGCCAGAGGAGTTTCGAAGTAGCGATATGATATCTTAAAGGTGCGTATCCATTTGTTGCGTATCATCGTATCGTATCGTATTTTCATACGCCACAATGCAACGTTTGCCCGCCCCCAATGACATACAACGGTGATACAAGGATACGTAACAAGTGGATACGCACCTTTACAATCACCTCGTACGACCATCATCGTTAAAAATTCTCGTCCACTCATTTATCAATAATACTTTCCGAATATCTATGGCTCAGACTGCGAATATTTCGCGTTCTTAACAGACAGAAGAAACGAAGAATGCTGTCGCAAAGAAGGAACTCTCTTTAGGCACCGATTCCGCTGTTGTGGAATTAACAGGCACCAGCATGATGCGTGTTACATACGATCCAAGGCTAATGACCCTGATCAGAGAAGCCAGAGCGCTTTCTGGCCAAGGTGTCGAACTGCCGCGTGAAGTAAAGGATCTAGTGGAAAGAGCTGGTAGCTTGGCAGGACGTGCCAGAGCGCTTCAGCAGGTCGCGACATTTCACAACACTATCGGCGATCGCATGGTACCATCCCAGAGGCCACTGATGCTCACCACAGCCCTAGAATTGGCTCGAGCTGTTCAAGAACAGTCCGGTGTCGTTTGGTCCGATCCTTTGGCCGTTGACGCTTATACGGCCAGATTGAAAGAATTGGTAATGAAAGGGGATGTTCGCGAAGTGATACACGTTGATTTATTTATAACTTTGCTGAATTTTTTTTGTGGGACTAATCTAAGAATTATGTTGTTCTTGGTTAGCGGTACAGCGATGTTTCGATGAGCGCAAAGTACTCGTAATTAAATATTAGTATAAATTTTACTTTACTTTAGACCTGATAGAACCTTCGATAAAGGAAACAAATCATTGGCATAATTTCAGTTCAGTAAATTAACTTATACAAATCTGAATTTCTTATTGGTTACGTCAAACTGATCGACTCCATTTTGAATAAGCTTCTCGATTCTAGTATTTTTTTGAATATACGTACTAAATTTTATGTATACTTTATTTTTTATAATATTAAACCCACATCGCGAATGATTCCACTGTGCATCGATTTTGTCTCTTGCGAATCACGCGACACAATATTACATCGAGAAATTTTACCGATTTATTTGACAATACGGGAACAGGTGAGAAAATTCGCGCAACAGAACTCGGATCTGGCCGGGAAACACTGTTCGTTGCGGGACTTGGTGTCGAATTTACTGAAAGGAGACACTCTGAATTTAATCGGGAATCAGAATGCTTGGAAGGACGCGTTGATGAGCATGAGGACGATTGTCGATAACGTGGAGGCCGAATATGGGAACACGAAGGCGTGGAAGCTTCATTGGGACAGGCAGTTGCTAAAAGCATTGGGTGTCGCTTATAGGTAAATCCAAATATGAATATGTTGTTTGGCGTTTCGGTGAAAATTAGTAGTTAACAAATTGGTCATATCGTAACGGAATAATGTAGTGTACACACACCCGGTACTTGTAACTAACTCCGAATGCTTTCCAAACTATTGTCCCTACCCCCGATTATAATGCGTAATTTTCATATGCATGAGCGATATCCATAAAACGAACCAACCAACCAAGCGGGGACAATAAAGCAGCAGCTTCCTATTTTATTCTTTTTTTTTCCAGAGGCACCCTACCGTCTCTGCTGAAGAAGCTGCCGGACATTAAAGCGGAACTGACGTTCCGCGACGGATCGTTGCAATGGCGGCCCACCCTCGAAGAAATCCGAGCGAAATTATACTCGGCGATCCGTCGATCGCTCTCGATCCCAATGAATTTCCGTGGCGTCGGTGACGCGGCTGACGCCCACTTCGGCGATTTGATTCAAAGAAGCGGCTATCTGTTCGGCGGCGTTTACAAACAGGCCGAGATCGCTCTGGCCGCTCTGGAAACGCTCAGAATGAAATGGCTGTATCTGGCGGCGCCAGCAAAAATCGACGCTGCTGAACGGTACAGATTGAACGATGTAAAAAAAAGAAATAGGGTAAACCAACCAGTGAATGATCGAATCGTTGAATTTAAAGACGTTTGAGAGTGATACTTGAATGTATTTATTTATAACAGCTGTTGCAATTACCTTTGTTTTTTTTTTTAAATTTTTATAAAAATAATTACTTATTCTTATTGTAATTTTGAAACTGTTATTTATGACGAACAAAACGTGTAAACGACCGGTAAATGACGGTTAGATTTCTGAAGCGTTTTTGTTAAGGATTGTACTTATTAATATTTGCTTATAACATTTAATAAACGCTTAATAATTTTTAAGTTTATAATTTACATTTCTTGTCTAATGGGCATTTATTGGTATGCAGTCAATTATTGGTTGGTTTACCTTAGCCTCGTTTAACGTGTCGAATCAATAGAAAAAGTGAGACGATGACACTGTTCAGCAAATTTTAACTATTTTTTATTTTACAACCTTTAATAGGCGTTTCTGATAGATATTAATGCACTGCGAGTGCTGAAAGAAATTGATGAGATCTATGCTGCAGTTCTCGATCAGTTTCTCGATTTATACTTTTCACCACCTGTCACCTTTACGTATTTTAATGACCTTTACGATTGATTATTTGTTCAAATACAAAGGTTGAAAGGACGATCGCCGCAGGAGTGGACAAGAGCATTCAAAGACGCCAAGCAATGGGCCCAAGAGGTCAGCGATACACTTTTTTACAAATTTTTTTACCAATCCCAAATTATACTAGTAAATACAGAATATTCATGCAAAACCAATCGATTCTTCCCGTTTCGATATAAAATTCCTTATTTGACAAATTTCCTTACATAATTACAAAATTCCAAACATCCTCAACCATGTCTGAAAGTCAATTTAATATTTTTAAACGAATCCCTACGCAGTCACAGCTATATAACATTGACCCAACCATATAATCAAAACAAACACGTTTTCTCAAAATAAGTTTTCTTCTTATCCCATCAAGTTTAGGGGATACCTCAATTAATCACATTCCATTAATCATCCCCTGTACATTCACTTCGCGCTACACGTTACACAAATCATACTTCGTACTAATTTCGTATATCCCTAAATTTAATATCAGGTTGGACGTTTACGAGGGAACGAGGTGAAAATCTGGTGCATCAGCGTGGACACGGCGACCACCAGGAACGATCTAGAGTCGGCATCGCGTCGTTACTGGGAACGTCTCTGCTCCGATTTAAGGGTGGAGGCATCGTCGAGGTTGGTCGCGATCGTGGAGTTCCTTTCGTCCGCCTCGAAGGAACTGGAACGTAGGCCCCGAAACGTGGAAGAAGTTGGATTGGCTAACGAGGCTCACGCGCGAATCGAGGCGCAATCGTCTGGCATGGCAGCAGAAATGGAAGCTGTCGCTGGATTGTCGAAAGTCTTAGCTGCGTGGACCAGCGAGAAACTTGAAGGTAATTCGACGAAATAGTATTTTTCTATCGAATTTACGTAATCGAATTACGAAATTGGACCAACTGATAGTGTGAATTAATTTAATCTGATCGTTGAATCTTTAAATTTCGATGAGGAGTGACTGGGTGTACTGCAACCCTGGTTTCAAAGAGTCTTGGAATGATTTCTCATCTGATGGAATCACGTAAGCTAGAAATTTTTGCGTATTTTGCTCAAAGAAAAAATCAATGTGTTTCAAAAAAGTACCTAGAGGTCCAAATGGATTTAGACACCGACAATTATGGGATCGCTACAGTCGCCTACATTTTGGGGTTCGATAGAAAATAGAAGACGTGTATTTGCAAAACAATTTCTTGTTATTCATCGGTTTTTTCTGCTCATTTGAGTAATGATGCAATATTTATACCCAAACGATCAAATAAACCCGATGGAGAACAAGAGATTGCTGCTAAACACATGTCTACTATTTTATATTGACCCAGAAAACACAGACGTTCCTAGTTACTCCATAATTGACAGTGTCTAGGATTATTTGTACCTCTACGTACTTCTTTGAAACTGATGATTGTTGAATTTGATCGGCAAAGAAATGATTCTCTTTAAAACCTGGATCGCAAATAAACCTAGGTCGTCGTGCATCGAGATTCAAGTGATCTTCAAGATCAGTTTAAACAATCGTCTTTCTCTCGACATTAAAAAATCTGTCGATCCAGGTGTCAGCGCAGCCTTTACCTCATGGCAAGACCTGGCCGAACGTCTTGAACGTCACAAGGCGGTGGTCGCTCGAGAACTAGAGGACGCGAAAGTGAATCTTCGTCACAGAGGCGTGGCGTTGCGAGATGAGATCGAGAGATGGCAAACGAAATGGTCCACCAAACCGGACATCCTGACCCTGGACTGGATCGTTTCGATGAAGGAAAGGTGGACGAATCTGAGGGAACAATTGGACGTTCTGAAGATCGACTGTCGACGGGTCGATTTGACTATCGACGAGATCTCGGAGGACAACGAGGAGAACATGAAGAAACTGGAGCTTCAGCTAGAAGTGGAAGAGTCTAATTGTCGGTTCCAAGCGGAATTTATAGAGGAACTGAAGAACCAAGAGGACGAGGAGTGGATGGTGGCGAGAAGAAGACTACCGAGGCTTCACGATTGGCTGGATTCATGGGAGAACCGGATACGGGTACAGTTGAAGGATCAAGGGAAAGATGAATCGTCGGATCAGAGGGACGGCCCGGAGATGAATACTTTTGTCGGGAAGAAAGTTCGTGAAATTCGAGCCGCCATCGAGTGGCTCCAGCTTCTACGGGGCGATGAGGTAGCTGAGGAACATTGGGCCGAACTGAGATCCCTTTTAAACTTGGTCGATGTCAGAAGCATCAGGGATATCACTCTGGGTCACCTGTTACGAACCGTGGATAAGATCGAGGAAAACTCGGAGAAGATAAAGGTAACGTTGAAATGGGTTCATAAAAATGTTTCTATAGATTACGAATTTTACAATGTGATAATGCTGATTGAAATGATACTAATAATGCTGTTCCAAAATATTGTTCGTCAACATAATATTTCTAGTTAATACTAATATTATTGGTTGAAAAACAGAAGCCGTAGGATTACTTTAACGGTCATCATTATGATTTTGCTTTTTTTCCTTTTCCCTAAGCAAAGAATCTAAAAATACTACCAATAAAGTACCAAGACACTAGAATGTCTACTTTCTACCAAGTTAATAGTAAGTTAGGTGTCATAAAAGGAAGGAGAATTAACGATCACACCGATACTACCACACTAAATGTAAACAATTCTAAAAAAAATGCCAAGTGTTCTTCCACTTCATGTGAAAAAATATAAATATTTAATTAAATATTCAATGATAAAATCTCTACTGATCGCGATACGTGGTTCACCCTGTATATGATTCAGGATATTACGAAAAGGGCGGCCGCCGAGAGTGGAATACGCCAGGGTCTGATGGAACTGGAGTCCTGGGAGGCATCGGCCAATTTTCACCTCCAGGAGTCGAAGGACAGCAGAAATTCCAATATTCTTCTCGTAGAAGATTATAGCAGTTTATTAACGCGAGCTGGTAAGTCGTGCTCACCTTTTATCGGCTGTAGAAACGAAATTTTACGGAGTGTGGAATGATTCACGGCGATGTTAATTGTTTAAATGAAAGGTGAACTGAGATTGTTGCTGGAGGGCGCGAAGGGTGCAGCGGGTTACGAAAGGTTCGCGGCGAGGGTTGCTCGATGCGAGAGCGGACTGTCCGAAGTGGAGGAGAAGATAAAGATTCTGAGCACTATTCAGAGGAAATGGGTTTACTTGGAGCCTGTATACGGGGGCGGAGCGGCGCCGAATGATACCGGCAGATGGTCGAGGGCCAACAAAGAATTCAGGTGATCGATCAAATTTCAGAAACATTGGTTTAAGATTATGTTAGGTGGTTGAGATAATTCTACTGCTGTGTTATCTCATTTGTGATTATGTTAAGTGTGGTTCTATGAAGTGGGTTTTGTTTACGTCTTTATAACAATGTTTATCATTTGTAATATTATTGAGAAACTAGAAGGTGTAGGCGGGTTTGTTTTGGTTTGATTGTGTTGTGAGTCCCCAATTGTGTGACTGTCTGGAGGGAATATTGTATTAGGTTCCAATTGTATTATTTTATCTCAGGGTATTACCATTTCTCTTTAATTGTATGAACCTACTTGTAGAAAATTTAAGGATACGACCCTTGAATAAGTGATTTTTTATAGTTCTAAGTAGTAGTGTATGTTTGTAAATTAATCATATAGGGGTCCTTTTTTAACTATACTTCGTAGATGGAGTAGAGGTGCTTGTTGCAAATGTTTGTAAATTATATTTTAAATGATTCTGATTGGGATATTCGTTCAGGTATTTGATGGGAGAAGTGTCTCGTGATCCGAGGGTGTCATCCTTGAGGAGACTTCCTCTGTCAGCCTTCACAAACTTGAAGGATCTCTTGGACAGGTGTCAGAGAAGCCTCGACGAATATTTAGAGGTTCGAAATAAAAAAAAATATACTGCACCCTTCACTTGTAAAATATTCGTACATTTATCAGACCGTGAATTTTATGCAAATATAAAAATAGCACAATGAAATACAGATGTAAAAAAATATATATAAATTAAATACCGCACTTTATTTTCATCTTAATAAATCCCTTTTCCGGTGAAACGAGTATTTCGTTACTTCTAGAAAACGAGAATCTTCATAAATATACGTAGAGTGTAATTGCTATTCACAATAATTTCCATATCACCAACGACAATTCACTAACAGTTACAGCATTGGAAATATTTCTCTCCATAGCTCCTAAATTTACGTAGTAGGCACAATATTGACTACAATACAATTCGTACCGAACTTATTTCGGCCAAGATACAGTAGGTCATCGATGAGTGTTCGAATGCTCCTCGGAACTGAGTGTTTAGGCGTGATCCCCACCACTGGTCGCTTGAGTGATTCCACCAATAATGGGGATGACCTCTGTACACTCAGTGTCGAGGAGCCTTCGAACACTCATCAAAGATTGACTGTAATAAGCTACAAATTTTTGTAACAAATATCTGCTCTAAGTTTCCTAGTCCTAATAACAAGAGAAGTAAGCAATAAATATCTCCAATCCTGTACGTTACAGTCAAAAACAAAAGTAAAGAACATTAAAACCTTCAGACTTCAATCTCTTAGTCAAAACCTAGGTGTCCACAGTCTGTTCACCGTTTCAGGAGAAACGATCGTCGTACCCTCGCCTCTATTTCCTAAGCGACGAGGATCTCCTCGAATTAGTGTCAGCGAACAGCCGGGGCTTGGAGGCTCATCTACCGAAACTCTATCAAGGCGTCGGATCGATAATAAAGAACGATAATGGTCTGACGGCCGTTGTATCGCCGGAAGGCGAGACGTTACAGTTATCGAGGCCCGTCGACCTACGGGAGCCATTACCGCGATGGCTGAACGATCTTGAGGAAGGAATGAAGGCAGCCCTTGGGCAGAGCTTAGAGAAATGCTTGGTCGACACAGCGCCAGATCCGTCCGCTTATCCGACTCAAGTAAAACGTACCAATTCTAGAGACAATCAGCTTCTGGGACTCTTCGATCAGTTTTTAACGATTACATTATTATAAAGATTTTACTGCTGGCGGAAAGGATTCGATTCACCGAACGATGCGAGACTGCAATAAAGGAGGGTCGTTCATCTTTAAAAAATCTCGTTGATTACCTGGAGACACAACGGGCTAGGTACAGGGGTCTCGAGGATTCCGGCGACAAACTGACCGCTTTGAAGGCTCGAGGGTTACTTCTCGATACCGTTCATCATCTCGAGATAGCTAGGAATCTTTTGAACGTCACCGTTCAGGGAGAAAGCACCGTTTGGACCTGGCGGAGACAGTTGAGGAGCTACAGAACTGTGAGGATTGCTTTTGAGCATAAAAATTCTTACTAGTTCGTTAAGAGAAATAATGAATTACTTATTGGTAGACTTCCTCGTAAACTATCAACGATAACAATTGAAGTACAAAGTATACGATAACCATCTATAACTATTATTTAAATAATGATTTCATTGACAGAACAAAGGACCGGTTTTCCGCTGCGCAGGCGCAGAATTTCCGTATCGGTTCGAGTATCAAGGGGCGGCGGTGGGTCTGGTACAGACGCCATTGACAGAGAGGTGCTTTCTGGCTTTCGCGCAGGCGATGAAGCTCGGCCTAGGCGGCAGCCCGACCGGGCCGGCCGGGACCGGGAAAACCGAAAGCGTCAAAGCACTCGGCGCTATTCTAGGCAGGCTCGTTTTAGTTTTCAATTGCGACGAAGGTAACGGTCCGAAATGTTTACGGACTTGAAATCGATTTCTACGACTCCGAGACCCCGCGACCGCCCACCCACCTTTTGTTTACACGCGACCGGGCGCCACCTTGCAGTTTCAATTAAACGTCGTCCCGCTGTTTGTACCGCAAATAGAAATTCGCTCTATCGTCAGTTACTCCCTGCGGCCGCAATAATAAGCGCTATTTATGTATTAGACCATCCTTTCTTCAATGTCAAAATTAGGGGGATTTGTCCTATTGGACACTTAAGATGTTCCTAAATATTTTATTTTCAGTTTACTCTGCATTAATTAGAAGTTAACAGTAATAAAAATCTAAGTGAAGGGACAAAATAACCATAATCATAATATTCAAACTAAATCAACATTCAACTTCGGTGTATGATCTTAAAGGGGACATTAAATGGCACCTAGTGTCGGACAGATGCAACAGTAGACGAAATTTTATTCAAGATCTTTTTTTGATGTAAGTCAGGTAGATTTCAAGGTCACTTGTATTTTTTTTTCTATATTCTTACACAGCGTAGAAAAAAAGAAACGAAATTCATCAACGTTAAGATAACAACACTTTTTCGACGGTTTATTCTAATTGAAAGTGACAGAAATGTTCAGGTTGTCTCGTTCACGTGATTCACCCTGCAAAATCGTTTCAATGAACACGACAGGAAGATATACTTGTTGAGACCGCGTGAATAGTGGATCATTTTTCGTTAATACAAAAAACTAGGCCATTATTGACTCAAAGACCTACCATAGGAGATAATAAACGACGACCTAATTAATAAATGAATGCAAATACCAGGAATGGACGCCGGTAGCATGAGACGAATCCTAGGTGGTCTAGCCCAAGCCGGTGCATGGGGTTGCTTCGACGAGTTCAATCGTCTGGAGGAGGAGACGCTCAGCGCGGTCGCGATGTTGGTTAGGCCACTTCAAGAGGCGGTTCGCGACGGTTCCACGACGGTCACGCTGGCCGATCAGAAAGTCAACCTCGATCCTCACTGTTGCGTGTTCATCACGATGAACCCGGCTGGGATCGAGTACGGCGGACGACGAAAGCTACCGGACTCGTTGGCCCGACTCTTCAGACCGGTCGGAATGGCTCATCCCGATCGATCGGATATCGTAAAGGCGTTGCTGGAATGCGCTGGATTTTTAGACGCTTCGACCCTCGCGAAACAACTCGTCGAAACCCTCGACATCGCGGAAATACTGCTGTCGAATCAACCCCATTACGATTGGGGCCTTAGGGCCCTTAGATCGGTCCTGGACGCGATTCCAATGAAAACTGAAATGGACGAAACTGGCAGGTTGTTTTCCTTTAATGATCTTTCTATTTATATCTACAGACAGAGATGGGCAAACTAATTATCTAGATAAAATGTTTCGAATAATTTGCACATAATTATATCATACACCGTTCACTTTTGGCATAGAATATATACTATCAATATTATCTTCTCTTAACCCATTAAGTCCGAAGCAATGAAATAAGGTGATTTTTACAATATAATTATTAATTATTTATAAAATTCTACAAGGAAGAATTTAAATGCTATCAAAAAAATTTTCGGATCAGGACTTTTGTACAATAGAATGTTGCGTTTATGCAACTTTAGGCAATTTTTTACTAAAGATTATAAATGAAGTTATATATTATTTTACAGAAATATAGAAAATGCATTATATTCTAAGTGAACAAAAAAATTCTAAGTGAAATGTTACGCTAACGCAACGTTGGGTTCTAATGGTTTTTTTCGTGAAATTCGGTTTAATAGATTAGTAGCCGCGATCAGGGCGTCGACATTACCGAAACTAACGGAAGAGGACACACTGAAGTTTCTCTCGCTATTGGAGGACGTTTTCCCTAACGTGAGCCCCTCGTCGTCCGGTTTCATCGAACGGCGTGATTTACAGGCCGTTCTGCTGCAGCTTTGCGCTGACCAAGAGCTGGCCAATGAGATTGCAAACAGATGCGTTCAATTGAACGACCAGCTGAAAAGCAGAACGGGCGTCGCGATCGTCGGACCCCCGGGTAGCGGGAAAACGACAATCAGGAAACTGCTGCGCGATGCCCTGACGAAAATTGGCGAGCCGGTCGTTGAGTTTCACGTTTATCCCGGCGCGATACCGAAGTCGAGGTTGCTGGGTCGTGTCGATCCCCAGACCAGGTACCGTATTGATAACACAGAATGAAAAGGACCATTCTGTGCGCCTGTTTGACCTTTTGCTTGGTTTTACTTCTTCTTATTTATTCAGGATTTATTTGAACTTTGGCTCGTAGACGTTTTTGTTATTTACTGCTGTTTTATTATTTTTATAAAAGTATGAAATGATAGGAACTTTCACATTTAGGTGTACTAATCCATCTAACTTTAATATCAGGTCATCCGATAAATAATGCGAATTTCCATTGACATTCGTAGAAGGTGAAAACCGTAATTAAAACTAATTAATCTTCTACCAGTATATATTTTACCACCAGTTTCCGATCATCTTGTATATGCAGTTTATTTTTTGGCCAAATGTAGTCTAATTTATGTAAATTTATCTGATACAATTATCTTTGTGATTTTATTAGATTTCTTTAGTTACGTTCGAACGAATAACTTTCAACAGGGAATGGAAAGAAGGCCTGTTATCGAGCGTCGTCGCGTCAGCCGGTGAATCAACGACCTGGATCATCCTTAATGGCGACGTTGAACCTGATTGGGCCGAAGCTCTGAACTCTGCCCTGGACGACAATAGATTACTGACTTTGCCTAACGGCGTGGGAGTGAAACTTAGCTCCGGAACGAAGTAAATTTCCAATATTTTTACTCAACTCGAGCCACTCTTCATTTTGTCCGAACACTCGCATAATTTTTCCAGTTTACGCCGATTAGGTACTTGCTAAACTTCAACGTCGCCATAATGTTCTATAAATTTGTTTCGCATACCCGAAATATGTACAATAAATGTTTTTTAATCAATTTCCCATTTACTTCGCCACTCTTTGCAAAAAGATTGCTAAAGAATAGTTTTTATTTTTGAGCATAAAAGTGGGTTAATTCGAGAAACTTTTAAAGTCAATACTAAGTCTTAAATATTTGTTTACTAAAATGGTTGTCTGTGAAACATTCATTTCTGTTTATTGTCAAACAGATTCATTTTCGAGACACACAAACTTGCCGGAGCGAGTCCAGCCACCGTTTCGCGATTAGGCGTTGTTCACTTAGGTTCAACGGTTCCCACGAGTCTGTTGGTATCCTCGAAACTAACGGAACTTCCGGAACCAGCGAAAGAGGTCGCGAGCTCACATCTTTGCCCGTGCATCGAGGAATGCTTGAAGATCAACGGGGAGGTCTCATCCGCTTCCGGTTTAATGGCGTCCGCGCTTTGCCATCTAAAGATCGCTCGAACTCACACTTCCGCTTCTTACGCTCTACTAGCTTCTCTGTGCAGTCAAATTGGAGAGGAAAGAGCCAGAGACGATTTGGCTCGCTCGATTTATCAATTCACTGACTGTTGGTAAGGCTTCTAATCATTTCGGGTGAACTTTCGAAAAGCACCCACACCCGATGACTCCGACCTTTACATATGTTATCAACAGAGTTGGGCAAAATGTAATCTAATTACAAAATCTAAATCGCAATTACAATGTAACTGCATTGTAATTACGAGACAATTACAGTTACATTATAATTTTTATTGTAAATTTGGTATAGTTAGTTACAATGTAATTGTAATTGTCTTGCAATTACTCTGCAATTACATTGTAACTGTGATTTCGGTATTGCAATTATAATTTGGGTTTTTTAATTAAGGTACAGTTTGCCTAACTCTGGTTATCAAGTAGTAACCTTCAAAAGGTTTAAACCGTCGATCATTGGTTACTAGAAAGTTATTAATAAATAACGATTGAGAAACGTATCGTAAATTTCTGAGAAATCTGAGTTTTCCAACCATTCAAAGTTCGTTAAAGACTGTTCAAGAAAAAAAGTCATTCGGAGTTGGTAGGAGACAGTTCAAGAAAAAGTCTTTCAGAGTTGGGTGGAGATACTTAGTAACTAAGGATAGGCAGCTTAAACGTTTCGAAGGTTACTCGGGAGACTGACCTTGATAATATATGTCAAGGTCAGTGTCATTGGGTGTGGTTGCTTTTCGGAATTTTATCCATCGTTTCTGTTGAAGTATTCCCACTTATTTCTTGTATTGTTCCGATAAATCCTTCGATATTCTTCATAAAACGGTGATAAATTTTCTATCAATTTTCTATTAATTGGGCATAACATTGGTCCTTGTATTTCCATTCGAAACCACACAGGTGTCCGAACCCACAGAAACCGTATTCCGTGGTGTATAATGAGCATACGGATCGATTGGAGGTAGTCGGCGATATAGATCAATCAGTGGACACAGAGGATGGTCCTGTTTCATTGTCAGGTACTGTTCAAGCTCATAATCAGCCTATGGTTATACAGGGTGTTCGACAACATGTGTCAAAGAAACTTTAAGGGGTGATTCTATATGCTCAATTAACAAGGGACATCATTTAAATGTAACACGACGATTTTTATGCCCATTAGTACAGAGGCAGTATTTTGAAAATTATTTATCATTAAAAATTATTAACGAATATCTATCGGTTCTTTCTACGTTATCTTTGGGGACACGGTCTTTTTACAGGCGCCATGAAGGGAGCTTTATCAACCGTTTTGCCATGGATCCAGAACAACCAACCGATAATGATAAGGGGTCCGGAGGGTTGCGGGAAGAGCACCCTAATATCCGTTATTCTTTCCACAATCAGAAGCAACGAGCACTCGACGCTGATAAAGGGATCGTCCCTTTACGGGGCTCAGGATTTGGTGACGAAACTGAAGAGGGGCTGCGTGCAATTGAACTCGTCCTCGCACGGTAGGACATACAAGCCGAGAAGCGGTTCGAGGGTTGTACTGATTCTCGAAGATTTACACCTTGCTTCGAAGGATTTACAGGTGATCCCACGTTACTTATTACTAGACCGTGGATTTTATGCGTTTGTAGCTTGTAGGACACTTCGAAATAAAATAGAAAAATAGACGAAAAACAGAATACACTAGAACGGATAATTATTTTGTAATGCAAGGTGTAATTTTCAAGTTTACCCAGTCACATCGTCCTTGATTCACAATCACTGCAATAATTTGTTTTTTTTTTTAATACTTACGCATATCAAAAAATATTTTTCAACACTTTCTTCTTGAATCGGCACTGAAGAAGGGATTATTTTTCACACTTCACAGTAAGTTACACAGCTCAAACAAGAATTTTAAACAACACTTTCTAGAATTTAGTTTTCTCCACCGTGCTGAATATCGTCGCTTGTATATCACTGGGTCTGTCAGAGCCCAACTTGCACTTCCGACGTTTATAACTCGGTAACGAAAAACGGACTGACACGGGTTAATAGTGAAAAACATGGCGACAGTCCTGAACTTCCCCCCCCCCCACGGTTGTACCACCTTCGTTTTACCTGGTCAGGTATAATATACATTCTACGAACGCCTGGTGTGTGTCTGACCCCGCGATGTACTTGAGGATTAAGAAAGAAAATCCTACCTTTGTCCTTGTTATGAATTAGTTTGTAACAAAAGTCATTTTGCATGAGAATCCGTGGTGTACTTATTATTAGGATGTTTAACATTAGATTTACCAACAATAAACGTATATCTATTTCTATCGGATCGATAAACATGACAAACTCTTGAAAAAATATATTCCATATAAATTTCATATTGTAATAAAAGCTTACAAAAGATCTCAGCAAATGCATTGTTATGATAATTTTACTGATCTCGTAGTTCTAGCGTTAATAAAGAACATCAGTGGTTAATAATTTTCGTTTTACTAAAATTTCGAATATAAGTAATAAACATTTTGTCGATCAATTTTGCAATAAATATCGCGTATTGTACTTTGTTTAGGAGTTGGTACGAGAGTTGTTGCAGGATGGAGGATTCCACGAAGAGGATCTGGAGTTCGCCAGAGTTCCATTGACCATCGTATGCACCGCTGATGCAACGACCAGATTGCATCCAAGATTGGAAGCAATTTTATCCACTCACTATCTACCGTCAGTATCTCTTCTTTTCAAACGTATCACGTTCACCAGAATATTATCACTTTTAAAAGAAGTAACTAGTAATTGTTTTATTCTACTTTAAAAAACATGTTTGTACTCATTTAGGGAAACGTAGTTGTCCTTCAAATGACAATTCAATTATTTTTTCTTCTAAACTAAAGAAACATTAAAAAATATATCATTTAACTTAATTAACACGATGTTAAAAATGGTGTCCATCATTTAGCAATACAGTCTCGTAAACGGTTAAGAAACGACTTCTTAGTTCTATTATGTATAAGGCAATCTAGCATAATATACCATAAAATAAATCTGTAGTAAATTAAAAGCCAACATAAATACCTTCGAAAGCATCATTAAAATTTCAGTAATAGTAAAATAATAAATCTGTAATCCGTCATTTTGATGGATTTGGTAGTTTTAGTGTTAAGCATGAAAACATTTTTTCGATGTTTTAACAATAGAACAATCTACCAAGTAAGCCGATCACGTTTCGTGATTCCACCCTGTATATTTTACCACTTTATTTATTAGATTTTGGAAATGGTATTGAAATTGAAGGTATCCAAGCGAGAAGGACATCGTCGCCGTTTTAGGATTGCATTTGAGAAGTTGCCTGAAAGGTGATCGGAACTTGATCGAATCCTGGATCGCGCAGATGGTACCCGCCATGCTGGAAGCATTCGAATTAATGGAAACTTCCCGTGGTTTGCCTGTCAAGTGGTCTCCGAAGGATTTGATCCTGTGGGCTGATAGTTTGACCTATTATCCCGTCCCGGAAAATGAAGGAAATATCACTCGTTGCTTGTTGGATGCTGGACGACGACTGTTTCATCCTAGGTATCGTTTTAAAAATCGAAATCACGGCCGGTGTAATGTTAAAATGACTTCGTCACTAGTGACAAACGAATTCCATGATATTAAAATATTGTTAATCATTAACCTTCTTAAATTTAAAATAGAAAATTTTAAACCCACGTAGATTTTTGTTTCTAACTGCTAAAACTATTCTAATATTTCATATTTTTCATTCGAAATAGGCACAATTTAAAAAATTAAAATAATTTGTTCTCTACAATTTAAGCATGGTTTCGTATATTTCAAGATCGTTTACCCTGATATTATCAATAGTTCTCTAAAAAAGAAATTCGCAAAGATCACTTGCTTTTGGAGCTGTTACATTAGAATCATCCCCGTTAATGTGGCCGTTTTCGAATTTCGATCAGATTGACGTCGAGGGATCAGTCGCGGTGGGAATCAACGATCCTGTCGAAAGCAGGGGCCGCCACCGAAACGGATGTTTGCGACGTGTATATATGGAAACACGGAAATACCGGGTTATCGGGACTGGACGAGGAACAGTGGAGGAACGAGATAATTAACGCGGCTGCGAGATGCGCCAGAGAAGGCGATCCGGTGCAGGCGTCGATATCGTCTCACCTGTTGCGCACCATGGCCGGTGAGACCGTTGAATTAAGTTAATTTCAGGATATTTCGGCAAACACAGCTTAATACGACGACCATTTGCGTCGTAGGGTAAACCAACCAGCGAATGACCAAATTGTTGAATTTATGAACGTTCGAGCTTAATACTTGAATGTATTTAGTTATAATAATAAAGCAGCTGTTGAAATTGCAATTATATTTACTTTGTTTGAAATTTTGATAAAAATGATTACATATTTTTATCGTAAGGTTTAAAAAGTTACTTATACAGATATTTTTAATAAGAATTGTACTTGTTAATGTTTGAACTGAAAATATGGGATATTGAAAGTGCAAGTACACACCATTTATAAACATTTAATAATTTTAACACTAATTTTTGTACTGGTATGCAGATAATTACTGGTTGGTTTAACCTACATCGTGCTCCTGTCACATATACGATTTCAAATATTCTAAAACTTTTAAGAAGCGTTTGTAATTCTTTTTCAAGGATTGTGCTGGGCTTTCGGGACTAGCTTAAGAGGCGTGATTTTGATCGGACGACCAGGAGCAGGAAGAAAATCAGCCGCCAGGCTAGCTGCCACCTACTCGTCCCTTCGACTAGTAGACTCAGGACCTGGTAAAGTCTCGATTATGAACATCTACAAGAAATCAAAAGAATATATTTAAAGAATACAACAACAGTCGAACAAAGAAGGAAAAGATTCCATGTAAAAGTACCACAAGCTAAAGATTAGCATACCTTGAACATATCGCTATTTGGAATTAATAATGGCACAACTTAAAAAAATATAAATTTGGAGAATCTTTTTAAAATTTGCATTTGTATAGCTAAGACCAGGTTGATAACGACATAACTGCCCTCTGACGCAGAACTGATGAAATTATAAATATGCCGTTTTATGATAAAAATAGAAATGTAATGTAGATCTTGTAATTCAGTAAAAGCAAACTTGAAACTTTTTTGAGTTGTGCCACTATCAATATCAACCAGCGATATATTCGGAGCTACCTGTTTTGAAACAATTTCAGTATTCGATCCAAAGTCCAATTACAAAAATTTACAAGAAAGAAAGAGGAATATATTGAAACGAAACAACAAATAGTCTTATAAGTAAACTGCAGACTTTATGCATTTATATCGGATCCAATGATTTTTCTGTTTTAGTCTGAACCCTAGTAACATACTTAAGAGGAAAAATAAATTTCTGCATTTCCTCCTGTCGTAATAAATTACTTTAGAAAATGTTATTTTGCATAAAAATCCGCAGTATAAGTTATTACACCTGAAATTGTGGAGTCCTTTCTTTCGAAACAGTACTATAATTGCAACGCTTCACGATAGCTAATCTCTCAGAGAAGGTGGATGTTCCGAAAGGACAATTAATCAACAAATTGAATGACGCAGGACGCGGTCGAGCATCGACGAAAGCAGCGGTCCAGGCAGCTGGAATCGACGGCGAGCCGACTCTCCTGCTGCTCGAGGAGCATCACATGAGAGAGAATGGATTGGCTGTTTTAGCGAGCGCAATAGTGTCAAGGGGAGAACTACCAGGACTATTTACTGCGGAGGAACTCGACGGGTTAATAGCGCCTTTGGCTGACGTGGCGAGGAGGGAAGATTTCTCGGGCACTCTGGAACAATTCCTTTACCACCGTAAATAGACAATCTCAGACTAGAAACGCGGAATCCTGACAATTAACTCTAGAAAAAAAAACCAGAACATCACACACGTGTCAACTTTCTTCATTTTGCTACTGTTCAGTCAAGCATCTCACATGACCCTACTTTGACCTTACTGGCCCATATTTAGACCCCTATCCTGTATTTGGACCACCTTCTCGACTATTATTAAGTACCGTTGAAATTTATTTTTAACTACCTGCTAGAAATGGTATAGAATTCTCAGTTTATTTGTAACAGAAGGAAGAGCAAAGTACATATGTTACTCTTCAGGTCATCAACTGTAAGATCTCTCTTTTTGGAAAGAATATTCTAAAGTTTCTCCAGTATTGCAGTCGTCAGGGATTGAACGACACATTGATTTTAATTGTACCATGATTTAATGTAGCCCATCCTCTACAGACAGTGTTGATTAAACACTCCGGCCTTTATGCCCCTTTCTCTGCACCATCTCCACCGTGCACAATACTTTATAGTACACTTCAGTAATACATTGTCTGTGGGAGCAGAGCTGGGGAAGCAACGGAGGCAGAAGGAGCAACGGTAACAGAATGGATGGGAAAGAGCACTAAGCTCCGTAGCTTACGTTGGACATGCCTAGTTTAGTAGCCCGCTGCTAAAGTGTATCCAGCTTGTGTTTTAAATCCCCCAGTCACCGAGCAGAAACTTTTAAACGTTAACCTGACCTGAATAGTAACACACCTCTACAATGCCAGCCCATAAAATCTGCGAAGGTCTTATGGCTGGGTAGAGTAAAATCTCTGAAAAATCGAATAAAACCGATGATCATTCGATCTGCGCTGTTACAATTTTCATTTTAAATTTTCAGGGTTAAGGAACTACCTTCGAGTCGCCATAATTCTGGACAACGGGGAGATAAAGTCCACCTGGCTGACACGTTCAGGACTCCTGAAACATTGTGGATTGATCGGTCCAGGTATTGGTAGCGAATGGTGGTCTGTGGAGGGTTCGTTGACTGAATTAGCCTATCAACAAAATGGCGTCGAAATGGAGGACTCTGGGGAACAATTGCCTGGTGTCAAGGTGATGGTGAAGGCTCATCTTCAAGCACCGAGGCAGCAACAAGCGCCAGCTCGATTTTTCGCGTTGTTGTACACCTGGAGACATCTTCACGTCACCTGGACCGAGGATGTGGAGCAGAAGCTACGGAGCCTCGAGGCGGGGATAGGAAGACTGGAGGAGGCCGGGGAACAGGTGGCTAAATTGGAGGATGAAGTTTCGAAGCAACGGCAGGAACTGGAGGTACATTATATAACGGCACCGATGCCGGTTGATCCTCGCGATACGACGGTTCGAATTACAAACTTTCGGAATTACTTCGCTGACTGTGACCTGAATAGGTTAGACGGTTTGGAATATGCAAGAGGCTTCGAAGTACGCTGGAATATTTTATAAGCAGAAATATGATAAAGGAAATATGAAATTACCGTCGAGCTGAAAATGTTTTTGTAATTCCTATTTGAATTCTGGTTCGTGGAGATTGGTTTATGAGAAGGAGAATTCGAGGTACATTGAAGTTCTGTATTAACCCACCCACTGCGACTTTTTTTGTATCTTCTACAAACATTTTTGATCTTCATAAAATCCAGAACTAATAGTCATTTTAAGACTATTTAAAACAATTCTTAAAATATATTTTTTTTAGTAATGTGTTTGCTCAGGATAAGTAATGGCACTCGTAGTCATATTAACACCGTTTTTTTAACGTTTGGGTGTCATTTAATCCTTTCAGACCTGAATATTTTTTTAAACAAAAATATTTGATTACACATTTTAACTCAATAGACTGTTTAGATATTTTGATCAGTTTTGAAAAATTAAAAAAAGGTTTGTTATTCGATTCTGAATTCACTAGACCTACTAAAAACATTTGGAATGTGAACAAATTCAAATTTATAAAAAAAATATAGATCTGCAACACATTGTACTTAAGGTGTTGTGTGAAACTGTATACATTTTTGGATTCCAGGCGGAGCAGGGACGAGCTAACGCGGCCCTCGAGCAAATCACAGCGACCATGAGAGGAGCGACGGGCCAAAGAGGAGAAATGGCCAACCTAAAGGCCGAGACTGAACGGGAAAGCGCTGAGCTAGCTCGAAGAAAGGTGGAAGCTTTTACAGAATCAGACTGGTCACTCTGTTCTTATTTAAAAAATGAACAATTACAAGCCTGGCTTACAAATAAATTATCGAATAAGAAATATAATTTTTGAACTGCATAGTTTAAACGGTTGTAATAGCTGATTCTCGAACAAAAGATTTTCAATCGAAATAAGACGCACCTGAATCGACACATTCGTCTAAACACCTTACAAGCTTTTTAATCTTATGATTAACGGTTTTAAGGTAGCTGGAAACGATGTTTATTATTCGACAAACCAACAACTAAGAGATGCAGCTCCAGATGCTACGTTAAAAGATCGAAAACGAACTAAAATTATAACCAGCTAGACAATTGATTAAAATTTTCGAGTTCCTTCTACGAGTACCAAATTTATAGTCCAACACCACCTAACGTCAAAAGACCCAAAATAATCTCAAATCAGAATCAGCTAGAAAATTCGTTCAAGAGAACCGAAGCGGTTGACCTGTGATCTTGAGAACCAGTTTTAAAGGATAGATTTAGAGGAAAACTTTCGTTTCGTAGGCTGACATCGAGGGAGAGTTGGGAAAGGTGGAGCCGTTGGTCGAACAAGCGGCACAAGCGGTGGCTGGCATTAGCGCTGACGCGTTGGCGGAAGTTCGTTCCCTGAGAGCACCTCCGGCGCCTGTTCGAGACGTTCTCGAGGGTGTCCTACGGCTGATGGGCATCAAGGACACTTCTTGGAACAGCATGAAGACTTTTCTGGCGAAGCGTGGTATCAAGGATGAGATTCGGTAGGTTGGCAATCTGTCCTGTCTCTATCAACGATGTCTCTTTGTGCACCCGAATGATAGATTGATTGGCGAACGATTGTACGATTTCTGTTTTTCTTTTTCTGAAATGATTTCGATCGATTCTAGGAACTGGGACGCGAGGAGAAGTACATCGGTGAGCCTGGAGGCGGTCGCCAAGCTGATCAAGGAGCGACCGGAAAGTTTCGAGGAGAAAACCGCGAAGAGGGCCTCGGTTGCTGCTGCCCCATTGGCCGCCTGGGTGCTGGCGAATCTTCAGTATGGTCAGATACTTCAGCAGGTCGCACCTCTTGAGAAAGAGCAACGACTGCTGGCCGAGTACGTTGATATCTGACACAATTTAATATTTTTGAGTCGGTATCTTGAATTGTTACTTCATGTCAATAGTCATTTCAATGGTATATCAATCTATGGTATGTCAATCTATAGTATATCAACCTGTGATATATCAATCTATGATATATCAGTCTATGGTATATCAATCTATAGTATATCAATGTATGATATATCAATCTATGGTACATCAATTTAAGGTATATCAATCTATGATATGTCAATCTATAGTATATCAACCTGTGATATATCAATCTATGATATATCAATCTAAGGTACATATATCAGTCTATGGTGTATCAATCTAAGGTATATCAATCTACGATATGTCAATCTATAGTATATCAATGTATGATATATCAATCTGAGGTATATCAATCTAAGGAATATCAATCTATGTTATTTCAATCTATAGTATATCAATCTATGGTATAAATCCACAGTTAAATAGTTGATTCCCCTCTGAACGAAGAAGGAACTACAGACTTTGTTAATTTGAGTCTGTGCTTTCGACACTTCAGGCGTTTGTCAGCGGCTGAGGCTCAGATAGGAAAATTAGCAGCCGGACTTAACACCGTGGAAAGTCGCGTGGCGCAGCTTCAAGAAGAACTAGCTGAGCGTTCGAGGGGCGCGGCTGCGTTGCAGTTAAGAGCCGAGGCGACAGAGGGTAGACTGTCAACCGCTAGGGCATTGTTGCAGAAACTGGACACGGAGCATCGGGATTGGCAAGCTCAGTTGGAAGAATTGACTGCTAGAAAACAGAAGCTGGATGTCGAGGCAGCCAATGTGGCGTCGTTGTTGGTGTACGAGGTGTGTGGATCGATTCTCGATGAATTATAGCTCATTTTTATAATAACTTGACTTTAGATACTATATTCAAACATTCGTAATTATTTCACTATTCTGTTTTTCCCGATGGTCGGAGTTGATAAGCGAATGAGCAGGGTATACGGTCTAACCCCTCCCAACTCAGTAACTGCTACATATTTCCCCCTTCCACCCCGTATTGTTCACCTCGACGCTCTAACATTGTATTCGCCAACGAAAGAAAATAAGTTCCACCTACAACGTCATCATTCTTCTTGCATCGATCATCCTTTTTCTTCGATCGAGGGAAAACGTCACTCCTCCAACCAATCACCGTTTTTTTCCATCGGTTCCATTGACGCACGTAAGAGAAAAAAGTCACGAGCCAATTCCCACCCACCAGACACCATCATAATAACAGAGAGGCGGTAAATTCGCGTATCAACTCTCGACTTCAGCTACTTCTTCCCCCGGAGCAATCGATGTCATTCACCGCTGCTCAACGTGTCAAAAAACCAATAAAATCGCGTGCTCGAATAAGAGTCTCGAGATGGAGGTCGTTGGAGGTAAATTGAAATTGAAACATCGATTCGCAGAATCCCGGAATGGACGACAAATGGAAGAAGTTGGCGATCGAGCTGCTCATCACCGAAAGAGAAAGATTGCTTTGGCGTGCTCAGGGTCTTCCAGCGGACACAGGAAGTCTGGTGGACGCTTCGTGCGCCCTCAGAGGTCCTCTGGTCCCGATATTCGTGGATCCATCCGGTCTTGCTGTCGCGTGGCTGAAGAACAATCTTGGCTCTCGTTTGGAGGTCACGAAGCCCGAGGACGCAAAATTCCTGACCACGCTCGAGCTATCCGTCCGTTTCGGGAAATCTTTGCTGGTCGAGGAGCTGGTCGAATTTCCATCGATCTTATTGCCCCTCTTACGTCGACGTCCCCTGAGGCTGGGCGAACGAACTTTGCCACCGTCAGAGGGCTTCAAACTTTTCCTGGCCACCAGACGGGACCGTGTGGACGGTCTCCCGAAGGAGGTCGACGCGGTCCTCTTCAAGATTGCCCTCGGGGCCGGCGCCAGAAGCTTGGCGGAGAGATTCGTCGAGAGGGTGAGGAAACGTTTTACAGGAAATTCGCGCGCCACCGTACATATTGATTCTGTTCGTGTCGTTTTATTAGCTTGTTCGAAATGTTTGCGAAGGGAGACGAAAAACGATGGAGAGGGCACTTGGACGGAGAATTTATAAAATAGCTACTTGAAAATTGAAAAGAACCTTTCCAAAAAAAAAATTAAAGTGTTTTAATATTACGTCCGTCAGTCATAAATCGCCAACAATAACGAAATATACTTCAATACCTATTCGATGACATTACTATCAAGTGGAGTACAAAATACGCCATTGTTTTTCATTAGCAAGGACAAACCTTTCTTTACTTTTCCGACACAAAATAATCATTTCTTTCTGTAGAGAATCAGTGGAGAAACTGAAAGTGACTCGGGGCTAATTCATCGAGTTTAAAGGAACGTGAATGTAGAAACGCGGCCAGCGAGATTAATCACATTGTCGGCAGGTTTTGTTAAGGGAGACGCCGGAGCTGGCGACACAAAGGAAGGAAGCACTCGAACGGGAAGAAAAATTATCCGGCGAACGGGACACCGCGAGATTGGATCTGTTGGCGCAGCTGGCCACGGCGAGAGGTCAAGACCTACTCCAGGAGTCTGAAGGATCGCCGGGCGGACTCTTGTCGTCGTTGCAGGCAACTCAGTCGAAAGCCAAAGAAATCGCGTTGGCGCTCGAGGAGAGTCGAAGAAGCTTGGAAAACGTGACCAGGTAGAGTATTACAATAAAATTCAGTCCCTGGTCATACTAATGTGAACGTTTATCTCTACATTAATCAAAATTTAACGAACACCAGCTTTCTGAAGCGTAATTATTATTCTTTGATGGAACATGTCATACGGGTATATCAATGAAAAAATGTCTGCAGAATAAAAATATTCCATTACTGTTTACAGTCAATTCAATAATTTGAAGGTAGTAATTTTTTCTCATTGAATTCTTACCGAACGATTCCAATGTAACAAGAAATTTATACCTTTGATTTGCTGTCCTCTAAAGTTTGAAAAGTGTGGCTTAATACAGTAAATCCTTGATGAGTATTTGAATGCTCCTCAGGACTGACAAGGCGAAATCCCCAAATGTAACGCTGACTTTTTAATGAGATTTAGCACAGTCGTAGAGCTTAGAATTCTGAAGTCAGAGATATTTGTATTAGCCACATGTGGCCATTAGTTGATGAAATATTTAATATTCAGTGTCGAGGAGCCGTCGAACACTCATCAAGGATTTACTGTACACTCTGGCTTTGAGGTCCACATGTATATCCACGGTAAACCTCTATTTACCATTCCTTCCATGGTAAAACGGAAATAAAGAGGCATGTGTTGTCATATTAATGTCGTTTTCGTTTCAGGAGAGCAAAGGATCACGAGAAACTGGCGAAATTCGCGGCTAATCTGTACAAAACCGTGAAAGCCCTGACAGTTTTGAGCCCTCTTTATGTTTTCTCCGCGGAAGCTTTCACGGATATTTACTTGGAGGCAGAGGATTATAGGAATTCGATACTGTCCAAAGATAAGAAGGAACAGGATAAACTAATCGAGAAACGGCGAGTGAAGATTTCTTGAAATAATACAGATTTTGAACCTTTTATATCTTCCATGTAATCTTCACAATTTTCTTTTTCTAACGATTTTCTGGATTTATTATTCACACCTAGAAATTTTTAATATTTCACGTTTATCCCTCTGGATGTGCTTCCTATGCTGCACCGCTTTTCTGAAATTATTTACTGTGTAAAATCGTAAATAGAATATTTCAGTATTGATATTCTGGGGAGATGTTTAATTTATCATGAAGAGATACGAACTCGTAGGGTTCGATCCATGAGATAATAATTCTGTCTTCAAATACTATGGTCACTATGATATAAATAAAAGTTATTTTCTTCTAGACTGCAGAAAAATCAACTCTTCTTTTAATAATTGCAGCAACTTATACTTTATTATAGATTGATAAGTCTAGCCCTGTACTACTGCTCGAAAGCCGTCTACAGGAAACATCGACTGCCACTGGCTTTGCAGCTTGCCCTGTCCTTACACTCGGTGCCAGACGTCGAGAAGAACTTCCTCTTGGGCGAAGTGGTATTGGACGACGACAATGATTCTGATTACAGAGTGCCCGAATGGGTGCCCGAGGAACGGCGTCTCGCCGTTCGAGCTCTGGTCTCATCTCTGCCTCAAGTATAATTTCAATCCTGCTCGTTTCACTTAAGCCTATCCCATTCCTTCCGATAAAATACTTCGTTTATTTAGATAGCAGCGAGTATAAAGCCAGCCTGGTTGAACGATGTGAGTAACATTTACGCGGAAACTGGCCTGACAATGTTCCAAAGGATTTTACTCGTGAAGACACTTCGTCCTGATCATCTGCATACGGCTCTGTCGAAGTTAGCTGCGGAGGTGTTAGGTAAGTCCTTCCATTTTTATTTTTACTGGTACATTCCTCGCTTCACTTTTATTCATTTTCTTCAGATTTTCATTATTCCCGCTTCACCATTTTCACTTCACATCTGTTCAACTTTTTTAAACATTCTTTTTTACCGTATTACTTTTTCTTTTACTCCGCCTCGTCTTCTTGGGATTTTCATTTTTACACTGCTTCATCTTATTCTCTACCGTGCTTTATCTTCTTCAGATTTTTATTTCTACCGTAATTTGTAAATCAATTGTGACTTCTTATTCGTAGATTTATAGTCGTATGCTATGTCTTGGTCTGATGGTTTTCTAGGCGTGAAAGATTTAGCCCCATCGCCTTGGTCTTTGAATAAAGTGGCCGAAGTAGAAACAACGTATCCGGTGCTGTTGCTTCTGTCGCCAGGAGCAGATCCCGGCTCGGAACTTCAGTCTTTGGCCAATAATCAGGTTGCGTCTGCGACGGGTTTCATGGAAGTGTCTTTGGGCCAAGGTCAGGTGGCTCAGGCTGAGCTTGCGCTAGAAACTGCTTGTCGGTAATTAAAACCTTTCTATATGTGCAATTTCATAATTAAGTTATTACTGTTTTTTCGCTGTTTATCACATTCTTGATATAGATATAATCTTAAATCAAAGCTATTTATTTATGGCGCCTATTAGATGGAAAATTTGTACAGGCTCAGAGCCCACAATATGATCTCCTGTATGTACACATCAGTCCACAAGTATTAGGACACTTCACGAATATACAGTAACTACAATAAGATATTACGAAATTGTTGAATGTCTTAAATAAATATTTTCCATCACATATTCTCCATAGAGACTAGGTGTATTGATACTTATGAGCGGCAATGTCTATTGCAAAGACCAAAAATCTGAATCTGCTTCTTAAATTATTGGAGACCTAAATCTTAGTGACCCTTATATCTTCCCTGCTTTATCAATGTTCAAAATATGTACACGTGGAACACAGTATAACACACTTGGCTCATCAATTAGATTACTGTAACACTGAATTTATCGTACAAGTGTCTCTCAACTTCGGTCACAATCGCTGCCCTCTAATTTCGATCGTAACACACTAAACACAATTCCACTACCAAGTCAGACCACCAAGTGTATCAAGCCACAAACTCCAAACATCCTAATCCACGGCAAACCTATCGGTATCTCTCCTCCACAACCAAATAAAATGTTCTCTGAACAGGAACGGCAGCTGGATCCTCCTCAGTAACCTGCATCTCGCTCTGAACTGGCAGCCCCGACTGGAGAGCCTTCTGAGATCTCCCGCGTGTACCACGAGCAAGAACCCAGCGACAAGAATCTGGCTAACCACCGAGGAATGTGCAGGCTTCTATCCGAGTCTAGCTGGTCTCTGCCTGAAGCTAGCTTACGAGCCGCCTGAGGGCTTAAAAAGGAATGTGAAGAGGTCGCTTCAGCAGCTTCAACAGAAGCAGCAGGAGAATGTGAACGTTCCTGGCACACTTCTGTTGTCTTGGCTACACGCCACGCTTCAGGAACGACGTAAGTTCGTCCCTGAGGGCTGGATAAGGGCGTACGAATGGAACGAGGCGGATCTCGAGGCGGCGCACGAGTTGGTCGTGAAGGAAATGCCCACGAAAAGGGACAAGGATCAAGATGGCACCTGGCAGACCGGCAGAGGATTGCTGGACGTCGCCATTTACGGCGGTCGAATCCAGGACGACTATGACACGCGAGCGTTGTGCTCGATCGTTCGTGATATTTGGTCCGTCGATGTGTACGAGGGACGGAAGAGGTTGGCCGGTGTGCTCAGGGTGGCCGGAAGCTCGATCGAGGATGCGGTTAGAGCCGTGGAACTGGTTCCTGATAACGACTCGCCCAGAGAATGCTTTGGACTGCCGGCCAATGCGCATAGAGCGTGGGAGAGAGGGGCTGCTGAAGCGGCGCTGGCCTATCTGAAAGGTTTGTTGGAGGGTGGAAATACTATTCGGTTTTTTTTTTTTTCATAAACACACGTACACTACCGACTGAAAGTATGGGACCAGAGTTTATGATTGAAGGTACAGTATCTCATTATTCTGTCATGATATTATAAAAGTCACGGTCGTAATGCTTAGACAAGTAGAATCATTTGGCACCGCCCAGACAAGTAAAGGCGAAATAAATACCGTTCTTAATATTTCATGTGGAAATTGGTGTATCCTTGGTAGCATAAATCAAATACAGAGCTTCTTTCGTAATAGAATTGCGATTGAGATCGCTGCAGGTTCAGAAAGTAGTATAATACCGTTCTAGATGCGACAAGTAGTATAGAACCGTATATATCAGACAAGTAGAATATGGCTATCCCTGATCAGAAAATGAGAACAAGCTAAAAAACTTCCAGACAAATAGAATACGTTTAAGAGTGTCTAGAAAAGTAGAAACGCCTACGAATTTCGAGACAAGTAGAATAGGACCGTCCCTGGTCAGCCAGTCGAGTAAACGCTACAATTTAGCAGTTAATGGACACTAATTTAAGAATTAAATTGAGAATGATAAATTTAGATCTTCTACCTGAATAATTCAATAATGCCATAAACTACAATGGCTTACATAAATATGTGTATGTTTCTTGATACCATTATTATGTACGTTCAACAATTCCGTCCCAGGCGTTCTCATCAAAGTGTCAAGCAACGACGGCAAGAACGGAAGTAAGAAAACGGAATCGAAAGTGTACAGGGACCTGAAGGAACTGATCGAACGTCACAGTTCTATCTTCGCGTTGCCAGCTATGGGAAGCGGAGGCATTAAGAATCCATTGGAGAGGTTCTTCGTCGACGAACTGAATTTAACCAAGAAGACCCTGAATCTTATTCAAGCGGACGTTGATAGTCTACGGTTTGAGGACTCGAAGGTTGGAACTTGTTTACGAAAATTATTCATGTATCGATGTTACTTAACAATGATGTAAAAAAATATATGATTATCTTTCTTGTCATAAATTTATTATAGCGCTGCTTGGCAGTGATAGTGCCACAATTCGTAAATGTAAATGATAGAGAAGGCCTTTTTTTTAAATTTAGTTTTGTATAGCAACATAAGGAAGATCCTGTATTCAACAAAAGCAAATTCAAAATTTGTTTAGTTACACCTCTATTAATTGCCAAGGAGCGATATGTAACCACTGATAGATTAACGTCAAGTAATAAATTTGAATTAGGAAAATCCATATGTAATTTGGTATTTATAAGTTATTACAAAAAAAATTGTGCATGTCGATGTATTTATTTTCTGAAAGAATTGAGGGGATTCTTTCAATTCACAGACTCCGAAACGCTGGACGAACGAATGGAAATACGGACCGAAGGAAGTCCTGCCCTTCGTAAAGGGATTGCTTTCGAGATACCAAATTCTAGAGACGATGTTGTCGATTTCCTCGTCCGTTATTGACATGTCGCGATTGGCCAGGCCACGGGCGTTCCTGACTGTACTGAAACAACACACTGCACGTGAAACACGCCAGCCATTGGAAAACCTTCGACTTCGAGTGAACTGGACGGAAAACCGGAGGAACAACGACTGGAAGATATTCTTGGTCATCGAAGGCCTTCTGATATCAGGTGACTATACATATTCTTTCATCCGAATTATTCCATTGCTGTAGAATTTATGGTGATTCAGAATCATAGTCATATAAAAGTTAATTATCAAATACACCCTTTGGTAGTATAATTAATATTACCAAGAAGCATTAAGAGTGGATTTACGTGTAACGAACATAAATCAAAGGTACAACATTTCAAAAATATCTTCCACAATTTAAAGTGGCCACGATTAATTATATTTTCACCACCAATAAAATTATTACTCTGGGTTATTGCACACGCGAACTTGCATACTTCATTTATAGAAATTCACATTATTCTATCAATTCAAATCACAGAATTCTGATTTCAAGAATTTTAAAACTGTTAAAATCTACTGCATACTTGCGGTATTTGAACTGTATCCAACTATAAATTTGAAGGGTCTACTGTCAGTAGTTTTCCATCTTACTAGAAGAGGGCCAACATCTAAGCCACACCGACTTTCCCAATACTTTAACGTAGTTTCGATATGTTGTAAATAATTGTGGATATCGCAAATACAGGAGCCCTAATAGAAGACGGCAACTTGAAGGATCTAGATGCGAATGCAGCGTCGGTCGCAGCTGCGCCGAGTTGCCAAATCGCTTTCCTGCCTGAAACATACACGGAAGAAAGTGCAGCCGCTAATGTAATGGGTGATTATGTGCGAAACAGCGAAGATGATATCCTTAGCATTCCGGTTTACGCGAATTCTCAACGGGACATGCTGATTTGTTCGCTTCCGATCCGATGTCGGAAGGAGGATCAAGACGATTGGCTACGACGAGGCGTTGCTTTTTACCTGAAACCAACTTAATTTCCACAACGAAATTTCTCAATCGAAATACATATCAACCGAGAGGATTCAGTGGTATTACACTGTTTTCAGTACGACTGACTCACGGTTAAAAGTATAATTTAATAATATAGGTTAGTACGTGCTAGTTGATTTTGTTCAGTGTTGAACACATTATTGTCACACCATTATGTGATGTTGCATCTTCTTCTGTATTGGAAATGTAAACAGTAAATTGTTATCATATCTGTACAGTATATTCTTGCGATATGTTTATTCATTATACAATTTAACCCTCTGTAACGCGAATTTGTTCGGTTCCCTTTTAAATTATATGTCAACGAAACAGAAAGATTTAAAGATTTCATTATTTTCACATGAAAGTAGTTATGCAAATGATAGTAGCAAGTTGGGGGTAATCGATGATCGTTTGCAAAATTTATTATAAATGAAAAAGTATTTCTGAAATTATTTTTATAGAGTAACGAAGACTGAAGTTCGTGGAATTAACGTAAATTCTTAATATTTTGATTCATTTACGTGAAGTATACAAAATCATAGTGTTTCAGCCATGAAGTTAAACGATTGGTCATGTATTTTCTACCAATTTAAAGTAACACGACTTTGCAGTCACTAAGCTTCGCAGAATTCAAATGTTCACGTCCAAAAATCATTTACTGTGCTTTTAAATTTTTCCCCTCGCCTGTTTCTGTTTCTCTCCGGAGAATCGTGAAAGAATTCGCAATGGAAAAAAAACTTTCGCGCACACAAAGACACAAAGTCATGCGTACAGTGTACAAAAAAAGGAACAGACAGTTGGTAATTAAGTAATGTAGTCTTGCAGCCGTAGCAACTTGTTGCTCTTAATTTGCATCATGAGCTTAATGGAGCCAATGAGTCCAAGCTTCTCCCAACAAAAGGAAGTCCTTTAGATTTAACCGTCCATTTCCCGTGTCCATTTAATTAAATTTTCTTTTTCGTCAGTCTCGTCGTGAGTTAAAAGAAAAGTGAAACGTTGAAAGCATCGAAAGGATTAACCCGTATGACTGATTCGATTCTCCAGTCGAAGAAGTTTAACCATGAATCTTCATGGAGGCCTCGTCGAACTCACACGTAAGTTCGGCAACTTTAATTCCTCGTCGACGCTGGAAAAGTATTACTTTCAAAGTTCTCAGGGAGGCAGAAGATTGAGTGGACGAACTCGTTGCCTCTTTTGTCCACTGATATCCCGAGTCCTTTTCGACCAATCGATGGTTCCGAGGAGATCCATTATTAACTACCTCGAGCTTTCGAACGGAGCATTCCTGAAAATCCCAACGGATATTTCAAAGTTTCCCCCCAAAACTTCCCTTCTAGTGTCCGATACCTCTACTTTCCCTAGAAGTTCTCCAACGTGAAAGACAACGATGTTTGACCTCCACAGTTCATGGATGCATATTGACCGTTAAGTCGCGAAATTGCAAAAGGAAAGTAGAGGCATGTATAAAATATGAGAAAAAAATGAGGCTGACAATCTCAACGATAGGAATTAGGGGTGGACTAGAAACGAATTTTTAAATTCTCGACACTCGAATCAGAAACTTTGTAGGATTTCGAAAGGTAAATTTTTTAATTTTTATGCTTCCAAGTGTGGATTGAGATTTTTATACAGGAAATGCGATAAAGTTTCAGGGAGCAATAGACTTGAACAACTAAAATGAATTATCTCGAACCGGACCAGGCCCCGAGAGTAACATCGAACACCGTTGAATTGGTAATTAAACGTCCACTCGGCTCTCGGTTTCCCTGGGTGAGAAAACACGGTCGAATCGATCTTCATTGTACGCCCATCCTCCACCTCTCGGTTGCTCTCGTTGCCGGAAATTCGCATTGTTTCGCCAGTTCGGCCGCCCTCGCGCTCGTTACCCCCACCCTGGTCCACGAAGGGCGTGAAACTTGGGGGATAATGATCCTCATCAAGCCTCCCTCCCCTCCCCCACGAACTTACAATTCCATTCATCGGGGGGTTACTTTGTTTTTAGACGAGCGTCATCACTGACGTTCTTACTTCGCGCAATTACGTCCGGGACCTTCTGCGAGCAGCGCTCGAATTGTTTCCGATGTGATTATTCGAAGCTTTTACACCTTTATTCGTCACTGAAAATTGTCCGATTTCTGTAGACATTGTCAACGGAAGCTAATCTATGTATACAGGGTGACCTACGTAAGTGTCGCCACGAAATTTTGGGAAGTTCCTTGAAGTTTAGAGAAAATTGTGTTTAACAACAGTTGAACTATAGTTAAGTGTGAACAACTTTTGTAAACCACGAGTTCATTTAGCTGCATTGATTTCGGGAATATGAATGTTGGCTTTGTCACCATTCGTTCTAATGAAAAATATCTAAAAAATGCTACAGTGTCATTTAAAAAACAAAAGGTAACATCCACTTCTCCGAAGAAAGTGCAGAATAGAGAAATACTAATTGACGATAGTTATGCATACTTAAACGTAGTTCAGCTCTTAATTAACACAATTTTTGGTAAAGCTCCTAGCAAAATTTTGATATTAATAGGATAACTTTATACAAGCATAAAATGAAAGGTAAAAGACAGATGAATAAAAGATGGGTTTACGCTACAGGGTGAACGAAAATGGGGTCCACTTGCAGAAAGAATAATCGAGCTTCGAGAATCAGAAATCGTTTTATTACTTATAAAGTAATCGCTTAATACATCCTTCTAATCAGAAGTTACTCGTACAAGTTACATAGACTCAGAAAATAGCGAGAAGTGATCGGAGAAGTCATTGCGATTACACGATTCGTTCCTGTAATAACGTTGGTTCGAGTCTCTGTCTATTACCAAATACTACTGTCCGACGGAATTAAACGATCTTAACACGCAACTGTGAATTAAAAAATTAAAAACTAACACTTATTAAGCCAGAATAAAAATCTTCAATTCCAGCGACACAATACGGATTCACGAACCCATTGGAACAAAAAATACTTCACGAACCATAGTACCTCCAATCATTTCGCTATCAATATCGACGATAATCATTCTCCCTTAAACAATCTACACGTACTAACCGTCCCATATAATCGTTCGCCGTAAAATTATTTTTTTATACTCAGGACAATATAATAATCAGTACGCAATCTAATCACTTTAGTCCTCCATCTATCCAAACCATACAACGTTACAATACAATAAATATCACTACTGAACTGTGAAATTCCTTCCACATTTATCCAGATCCAGGTGTTGCAAACTATTCAATAAAGTTTCAATAAAGTGTTTCACATCATTCGGAACCCGATAAAATCTCTAATACAAACTCAACAAATTTCCCATAACATTTACGGTAGCTCGATCGATAAAGATCTACACTCGCCCAATCATTCTCAGACTCGACCTTAAGCTAGATGAAGGTTCGGTCGCAAAACAATAACTGCCGAACCTGGGCCTCATTTCCAACAGCGTAACATCATTTATATCTCATTCCCTAAATTACACTCCGCAACGATTATCACCGGCTTGCTATAACAAAATAAATATAAAAAAAAATCTTTTTAAATACTCGAAAAACGTAGATCATTTGTTCCCTAAGTTTTCTCGAAATTGGTCAGACCGTGCCCATTGCAAAAGTACCAAACAAAATCCAAGAATCTTCAATTCCCCTACCACCGTCTTTGATCGATCCGACAGCGTTTCCGGGGCTCGGACAATATCTAATTTCCGGCGGGCGACCGTATTCGGCAAAGACAGAACGGAACGGAGCCAACTTTTCACGGCAACGAAATACCGTCGGGGTAAAATCGGAGAGAGTATTTAGGTCGACGCTCACAATACGCGATGGAAAGAGGGGGGGGGGTGTAGGAGGCGCGACAACAGTGGTCCCTTTGTCCCCTTGAGGCTCCGCCGCAGTCAAAACAGACCGCCTGCAGTCTAAATCAACGGCGAGCACTCGTTTAACCGGCCAACTGGAGAATTCGTTCGGAGGCGAATCGCACAATTAAACATTTCGCCCGGTTAACGCGGTTAAGCCTCGCTCGAACATACCAATTGACACTCCGTAACCCAGTTCGCTGCTAGTACTCGGGACGTGGCTCTAGTGTGTCAGTGAAAACCGAGTGAGTTATCGAGCCTGTACAAGTCTTGCTCGTGAAAAAATATTCTGCCGATTAATTCAGTGGAAGATCAGAACGTTTTAGTAGATTTATGTTCAGTTTTATTGGAGGAATTTAAAAAACATTTGAACCTTTAATTTTCAAAACCTATATTTACCATTTCAAGCTATAGTTTGAAAACTTAGTATAGTATATAGTAGTCCGCCTTCCAAGGGTTCACACGCTATTTTTGGGAAATCGCACCCTGACGCCACGATCGTATTTCATTCCTGTCTCAGGACGCCTCTAGCATACCAATTATATGTATTTACTAACTCCTACACGAGCTTTAATAGTAGACAGCCATCAATCTTCCATGGGTAATAAGAAGTCGATATCAATTTTTTGGAAGACGAATGAAATTTGTTATTGACCATTCAAGCTTCGAAATTTTGATTCTTGACTACAGTGCTCTGGTCCAAATTCGGTAACCTTCCCCTATAATCTAACAGAACACCCGGAACAGTACGAGAAGATAAAAAGTTCCCACAAAAGAAAATTCTAAGGATTGAAAATTCTTTTCTCGTCTTGAAAAACTCATCTTTCACCGAAAGTCCAAAAATCCAATGTTACCGACAGATCCGCCATATTGGTTGCAACGACCCGATCCAAAAGCATATTCTCCCCGCGTTCGAGGATTATTTTCCGTGCTGGTAGCCGGAGTGTCAACGGATTACACGGTCCATCGCCTCGAGGAGACGATTAAACGAGAAAATTTCAGGGGGCCACTGTCGCCACCGCGGGGACCGGAAACGACGTCGAGCGAGGGGGCGTTATCGACCGAAGTCTCGTCGTCGAAAGCAAAAGAGGAAAAGTGGGAATGAAACGTCTCGCAGACAGACGAGAGAAAAAACGGGATCGGCGACGCGG